ATCTATTCTTGGAAATCATTACTACTTTTGATATAGATTTAAATATCTTTTTATGGAAGGTTTATATAAACATGGTTTATTCAAGTTAATTGTTTTTAAAGCAAGTTTAATTAAATAAAATGTATTTACATGTCTAGTATGTGTATGTACTTAGCGTTTTTGCTAATACGTATTTCTTTTTTGTTTTTGTTTCGCCCTGTTTACCAATTTTGGTAAGCAGTCGTAATTTCAGGTGGAGTCTATATGCTGCATCAGGAGTTTGGGATCGATCACCTAGTCTAATGTTCATTTTGAAGTTTCAACATATTAGTACTCAAGAATTTTAGTTAAGTTTTGTAATAATATAAAATTGGATTTGGTTTTCGCTTCTAAGTTAATTAGCCTAACGCTATCACGTGACAGTAATTCGCCCAATTCAAGTCTATCTCTATGATAATTGTATACGTATTATTATAGTATTTACGTAGAGAAAGATTTAAGGGTGTTTCATGAGTAATGTTCTCCTCCACATCAAGAACCTTAGCTCCCTCAACATCCTCCGGAATGTCGCAAATATCTTTTACACCACTAACTTTGAAGCATTTTATAGGATATCCATATTTAGGTTGATTGTAGCAGATCTTATAATCGTCAGTCTTTGCAATGAAAGAAACATTGGAATTGATCACTTTTGATTGTAGCAGATCTTATAATTGTCTACTATTTGCAATGAAAGAAACATTGGAATTGATCAATTTCATCAAAATAGGATCCATTTCATTTAGGGTTAAGGGAGGAAATTAGGATGATAGTATAGGGTTTTGCGAAGAGAAGACGACATTTGTTTTCGAGGGAGGAATTACAAAATCAAAATCAAGGCCTAATAATTTAATAAAGCAAGATAAAAGGTCGTGAAAAAAAATAAGTGGGGTTTGAACCCAGAGTGGTTCAAAATCTTGACATCAGGATAATTCAACTTTAGCTATGAGACACATTTTAATGGTTATTTATTTATTTATTTATTTATTTATTATAAATAAATATTCTGAAAGAGAACTTGCAAACACCTTAGTATATCGTCAAAAATGTTTCAGTATTTATAGCTTCTCCTATTTATGCCTTTTTAAAATTAATTATGGCTATGAATAGGCTCCTAAAGAGAGACAACAACTAATCTCAAAGAAAGTGATTATTCGAAGCAAGGGACATTCAAGTAGGCATGATCTTTCATTTCCTTTATATTTGCAATTTTGCCAAGTTCAATGAGATAAAAGTTCTACATATATATAGGAAAAATTGCTTTAAATAATACGAACTTTACCCCATCCGCTAAAAACAAGTTGAACTTTTGTTTATTTCAGAATAATACGAACTTTGGGAGGTGTCCGCTTTAAATAGGTTATGACCTGTTGTTGACTTGATTAATAGGTATATGGGACACATGTCAATGTTTAATTGGGTTTAAAAAATTAATTTGTTTTTTTTATTTAATATTTTATTTTTTAATAGGTAATAATATTGATTATTATTATTATTATTATTATTATTATTATTATTATTATTATTATTATTATTATTTTTGTAAAAAAAAAAAAATAACTCCAAGGATGGGTTTTTGGTGGTTTTGCGGGGAGGGAGGGTTATGGGGAAGTGAGTTCGGTGGTCAGCCACCGGAGCAGCAGCCCACAACGCCAGCCAGAACATTTCTGGCCGACGCACGAGTCCACGACGTCGCCAGCCGGAAGGTGGTGGTCGCAGCTAGGCCGAAAACCCACCACGACCATTTCCACAACAACAACAATAACAACAGCGGCATCAACAACACCAAAACCACCACGCAACTCTCCACCACCAACCAGTCGCACCTCCGAAATCACCAAACATCGCAACTCTCCACCACCAACAAGTCGCCACCCACACAGCCCCACAAATCGCAGCAATTCGCACCCCATTGCCACCCTTAAACTCCCTGAACATCGCAAACCCTCGCCACCACCCAAAACACCAACCACCACAAACCTTCAACTCCAGACCCACTAACCACAACAGCAAGAACACTCACAAACCCCGACTCTCCCTCGCAACCAGCAGCGCCGCATCCCCTCCACCTTCACCACCGAAATCACCATCCCCTAGTTTCGGTTAGGGCGGTTTCGGGGCTGGGTTTTGGAAAGGGGGGTTTTCAAATCAATTTGGGGGGTTTTGTGGGTGAATTACGAGGCTCCGAAGAACTTGTTGCTAATTGGTGGTGCTGCGACGGTCATTGGTGGTTGCGGTTAGGCTCTGCTGGTCGGAGCTTGCTGCTGCGTTGCGTGGTGTGTTGAGTGGTGGGGGAGCGGTGGTAAGGGAGGAGGGTGATGGGTGGCAGGGGCAGGAGGAGGTCAGGGGGAAGGAGGAGGGCCTGATTTTTTTTTTGTTTTTTTATTTAATTATTAATAAAATCATAATTAAAGTTGTTATTAAGATTAATTACATTGTTAAATGAATTTATTAAAAAGAAAAAAAAAATTAACCGGTTACTCAGGTTGTAGGTAAAATAACCTGTTTAAAGCGGACACCCCCCAAAGTTCGTATTATTCTGAAATAAACAAAAGTTCAACTTGTTTTTAGCGAACGGGGTAAAGTTCGTATTATTTAAAGCAATTTTTCCTATATATAACCTTTAAAACCCCATTAAAGGAAGATCGCTTATTATGGCTAAAAAATTCACTGTAGTCATCAAAACTTTTTAATCATGAACCAGATAAACTAAAGTTCAAATGACACCCTATCGACTTTAACTCTTAAAGCCCCAATATGACATCCAGTTCCACATTCCGACTAATTTGGTTTGAGGCTAGTCAATGTTGTTCATAACTTCATATCTCTGCCAACTGAATTCAAATGGTTTCTTGGCATAAAAGAGCTAGGAAGAATGGTAGAATAATGAGTGCTTTAGGAAACTACTCTTGGCAATTCTTTATTGACTTTCACTAGACTGCAACATATTGATGAAAAAATTAGCAAGGTTCTAGTAATATTACAGAGTAACCTAACCGGCTCGAAAAAACTGAAACAACACAGTCACCATTATAATTTAAAATCAATTACAAGTTCCAAAAAACAGTATAACGAGAAAATCATCAAACAAACATCATTTTCTCATTTTGACTCGTGTCTTATCTACTACAGTCTACAAGTGTCTTTGCTATCAGCAGTCACATCTAAATGCAGAAGTTACAAGTGGCTCTTTAGCTAACAAAGTAACAAGTGGATGTTCATCCTACAAATCTACCTATATTTCTACTTTTTTGCTGCTTTAAAAAGAAGGGAAAATTCTACACGGTGGCTTTCGGGATTTAATTTTTCTACGTGAAAGACAAACTTTTTTCCAACTCTCTTTAGTGACACCTAAGTTTTGAAAAATTAAGCATAGTTCCCTTTTTTTAAGTTTTATGGCTAACTTTTTTATTTTTTGGGTTAACCTTAATTAATTTTTTTTAAAAAATCAAAATAATTAAAACCACCACTCAGCCACCCACCTACCAAAAACACCACTGTCGCCTGTCGCCGACACTCTCTCGGCCCCGGCACCGGCGCCACCCCGACCTCACACCCTTCCCCTTCCCCAACCACCGTAACCCCGCTCGTAACCCGACCCTAACCAATCTTGTAACCCTACCCCACCCCTCGAAAACCCAACCTATGTACTTAATTTTCCCATAGAATGTGTCATCATTCATTACCATAAAACTCTTCATATATAGCCTATGTACTTAATTTTTCCATAGAATGTAACTCCTAAATTATTGCACAATAGTCTACAATTTAATTTGTAAGACTTAATCACACATTAGAGGTTGTTGATTCCTTGGATGCTAATTTTCTAGACTTAATACTAGTCAAGCAATTATACAGAGTATTCCGTAATATTTACATAAGTTACGCCGCTACGGAGTATTATTTTATTTTATTTTGACAAAAAAAATATTATTTTATTACGTATTGTAAAATGAATAAAATTTACACCCACTAATCTTAAATTTATTACTCCATATTATATTTTTATTCCCTTATAAATACTCCCTCTGTCTTATAATACAATGCCCCTTACTATTTAAAGGCTATACTTTTTGATATTATTACCCTCTTTTTGATGAGTTGTCTTTTTTTTTTTTTCCTTTTTTAATTTGTACTTTTGACATTAATTTCCAACACTTTCTCTCTCTAGCTCTTCAATTATTTTCAACTACTTTTTCTTTCTCTTTACCTCTCTCTAACCCCACATGCAAATATTTAGACCTGATCAAGTATGGCCCAGCCCGACCCGACTCGATTTGTGCAGAATTTTTCAGTCCAAAATCGGGTTGGGCCCGGCCCAATTTTTTTTTGGGCGGGTTTGGAAATGCGTTTTTAACTTTTTATGCATATTTAATTGATTATTTAGGCCCGACCGAAAATCCCACACGGCCCGACCATTTTGGGCGGGTTTGAGCACAAAAATTCCGACCAAAGAAGTGGGCATAATTTTTTAGCTCCAGCCCGGCCCGCCCAATGATCACCTCTACAAATATCTACTTTCTAATCATTAGTTATAAAGAATCAACAACTTTCTTAATTACCGTATAAACCAAAGAGGCATGAGACGGAAGGAGTATTGTTGAACACAACCTTTTAAATTTAGTTTTTATCAAACTTACAAATTTACAGTGATTCGGGGAATCGTCCGAGTTAAGAACTAGTTAATAAAATATAATGACAATTAAGCTTCCACCTCGTAGAGTTGGTGACTGGGTTGGTTTAGGGGTGGCCATTCGGGTCAGCAGGTCGGATTCGGGTCAGATTTCGAGTTTTGCTTAGAATCTATCATAAAACTGAATATTGTTACAAAATATGAAATTTAGGTCAGATCGGGTAAAATTTGTTTGGATTTGGGTCGAATCGGGTTTCTCTCAATAACATTAGGTCGGGTTATCGGATCGGGTCGGGTCGATTGCCAGCCCTAGGTGGGTTAGCAGATCATTCCTATCAACTCAGCTTTTCTAATTGAGTAATTGATGACTACTGTGATACAACACAGTATTCTTTCGATTATTAATATGTTACCAATTTGGGTAATCTTTTTAATCTGGTTTTCAGCCATTAATCCCATTTCTAGCTCTGTTAGTAGCATCTATGCAAAGCAAGTATTACAAGATGCAAAAAGAGAGAAAGATTGGTTGGTATCAATTAGGAGAAGAATCCATGAAAACCCAGAACTCAGATTCCAAGAATTTAACACTAGTTCTCTAATTAGGTCTGAACTTGACAAACTTAGCATTTATTATGAATATCCATTTGCTCAAACTGGTGTTGTTGCGATCATCGGGTCGGGTTCTTCACCCGTTGTGGCTCTCCGGGCTGATATGGATGCCCTTCCTATGCAGGTAGTTTAATTTACTCTTTTAATTAAATGATCTCTTGAAATTGTTTTATGATGTTTGTTGCGCGGATGATTCATGTTAGCCGACCACGAATCATTTTGGAGCGTGGATGATTCAGGTTGTATGTTTGGTTTTCTTTTACAATATTTTCCCTCGTCTCTAAAAGTTGTTCATGTTATGATTTTTTTTCATGTGACAATCACTGTCCAAATAGAAAGAAATTTTAGAGACGAAGGAAGTAGGAGACTACTGTTGTTGCTTTAAATTTCCAAGAAGAAGAATTTTATATGAATTGTTTGGTTGTCATTTGATTGATCGAGTAGGAATGTTAGAAGCTGGAATTGAGTGAATTTTTGCAGTTATTAATCTTATTATGCTTATTTGTTAGGCCAAAATTTTGAATTTGGTGTATTTATAATGGGTTTGTCATTGTTCTGCTGCCAAAAATTCGAAATATGTTGCTTTGTATGACACAAGTACTTTGATTAAACTGTTCCATATAACTATTTATAACATGATTTAAGTTTATATTAATTTACAGTGCATATACTTCGTATATAATCTATTTATTTATCACTGTGCTTAAAATAGGAACTTGTAGATTGGGAGCATAAGAGTAAAATTGATGGAAGAATGCATGGCTGTGGACATGATGCTCACACTACAATGCTCCTTGGTGCTGCTAAATTGCTGAATCAAAGGAAGGATCGGCTTAAGGTTCGGTCTCTAGTAACTATGTTCTATGCTGTGAATTTGAAGTTTTGGTGCTCCTGTGGTTAGACAATTTCTGGTTGGTGGAACCGTGATTTGATTTTGTTTTGTTCTTTCGAATGTTTCCTTTTGAGGACCAAAAATAGGTAGACATTAGTATTTAGAATCTTATGTTCTATAGGCTTGTCCTTACAGTTTTGTTTTTTGTTTTCGGACAATGTCCTTTCAAGTTTGACTGCAGTAATTTTGCATTTTGTGATACTGAAGGGAACTGTGAGACTGCTTTTCCAACCTGCTGAAGAGGGAGGTGCGGGTGCATCTCACATGATACAGGATGGTGCCCTTGGTGAAGCCAAGGCAATTTTCGGAATGCATGTTGAATTTACGACACTCACAGGGAGCATATCTTCTGTCTCAGGACCTTCTTGTGCAGCAGTGTCCATGTTCAAAGTGAAAATTGAAGGACAAGGAGCACATGCTGCGGAACCTCATAAAAGCATTGATCCAATAGTGTCAACATCATTCATTATTTTGGCACTGCATCAAGTCATTTCAAGAGAAGCAAATCCCCTTGAAAGCCATGTATAATGATTCTTAAAACCTTCTTCACATTTACTTTCTGAATAGGATCGCATATATATTTATTTTTTTTAATTCTTCAAATATTGGCTGTCACTTGGAGTCATATAATTGTGTCAATCTGTCAGAATTGAGAAACGGATTTGTGCCCAAGAGTTGTACTCAATGACTTGTACTTAATAAAATTCTCCATGTTATAATTTAAAGTGTCCATATGAATTTTGGAGCATCATAGACATGACAATGCAATGATACTTGAGGTAAAATAAAGAGTCCGAGTAATAGCATAAGTGAGTTACTTGAAGATTTCTGCAAATGAAATGCTAACAACTACTTTTGCTGAAGGTACTATCTGTTACATATGTCAAAGGTGGTACAGCTTTGAACATCATTCCTCCGTCTGTGGAGTTTGGAGGGACACTTAGGAGTCTAACCACGGATGGCCTGCACTGGCTTCGACAGAGGTTAAAAGAGGTAACCTCAATTCTGAATAACTTTATCTATCTCAGCATTCCAGTTAGCCGAACTTACTCTAGCTGTTGGTAATCATTGCACAATCTGCTGTAACAATTTTGTCCGTCTTCATCCAGTAATCTGGTGATTTATAAATTTGAGTTTCCAACCTTCAATGAAATTCAATTTTTAAAGCATAAGACATTATTTGAATTTCATATGCATGTGTGTTTGAAACTCTTGACAATAAAAATTTCTTCTTGCATTGTAAGCAAAAGTGAATATACTGGCGCTATTTGCCTTTAGTCAAAGCCAATGCTAAAACAATATGGAGTATCTATTTGTGATTATATCATGTAATTATAAACAATTTAGAACATGATTTAAAGCAAATTCATGTAATTAGCCTCAAATTTTAGTTAGATCTTTAGCATAATTTCATACATATGAAGTATTTCATCTAAAAGGCTGGCTTTGGTTCTTTATTGCTTACATTTTATCTTATTAGTCGTTTTATGTTTGTTCGAGAATGATGTATCTAATAATAATCATTGAAGGTGGTCGAGCATGGAGCTGCTTTACATAGAGGTCGAGCATATGTTGACTTCATTGAAGACTACCACCCTCCCTATCCAGCTGTCAACAATGATGATACTTTGCATCATCACATTGAGGCTATCGGTGGAGTTATACTAGGTCCTAAGAATGTCCTGCCGGGGCAGAAAATAATGGCAAGTGAAGACTTTTCCTTCTACCAAGAAAAGATCCCCGGCATCTTGATTGGCATAGGTATAAGAAATGAGGAAATTGGTGCAGTACACTCCCCACATTCTCCTTACTTCTTCCTTGATGAGGATGTTCTTCCTATCGGAGCAGCATTACACACCATTTTTGCAGAGACGTATCTCAGTTAGATCCGAAGCTCTGATAAGATTTAGAGCATGGACAACTCAACCCACCAGATGAAATAGTTTGCCAATATACAAATTCTCGGATTCTCTGTATGTTAGCTAGACTAGCTGACAAGGCTGTATTATATCTATAACTGGAACTCTCTAGGTTGGCCTTTGTCCCTCATAACTTATCAATAAAAAGAAAAGGCAGATGTTTGGTCATTACTTATTCACGATATATAGAAGAGATCCAGCTACTGGTCACCTGAGAAAATGCATGCGAGACTTGACTTTTCTCAGTTGTTGTGCAGACTGAAAGATCTGAAGGAGTGAATATCTTCTTGTATATTGTTAGGTTCAAGAGTGCAAATTATTGTATACTAATGTCATGTTCTCTTCACCTTATTTTTGCTGAAGTGAATTTTTTTTTACCGAAGTAAAATTGTTTTAAGTGAATACTAAAAGAAAACAGGGCCTAACTCTACATAATTAAATCATGTACAATTTTTCTAAAAATGTCCAGAATTTTTTTGTCAAATTTCCTTTCCTTAATTTTGATTAAATAGAACAAGCTGCACACCACAACTATTTTAGTGGAGTTTTAAATTTATTATTATTTAAATAAACTCTGAGAGGGAATTTACAAACAACACCTTAGTATATTGTTCTATTTAAGCTTTTTTTAATCTCTTATTATGGCTATGAATATGGTGTAGAAAGAAAAAATATGACAATAAATTTCAAATAAAGTGATTATTCAAGGCTATAATTAAGTGACCTTCAAATAGGATGATCTTTCACTTCCTTTGTAGTGCAATTATACATACAACCTACAGATACAAAGTTCAACTAGAATTTAAAACCCAATTCATTGAAGAAAGATCGCTTATTTCCAAGCCACCATTGTATACACAATTCTCTAGCAAAATGATATTTATTACATAGGGATGACTGAGCAACTACCGCCTATCTCCTGAAAATTCTTGACCACCAAGCCATCACTGAAGTGGATACAACTTTTAAATAATGAACCAGATCAATAGAAGTTCAAATGGCAACATATATCCAGTTCTGCATATCAGACATAAAACATAATGATGAAACAAATTAGCAAGGTTCTAGACAGAGTAACTTGATTGGCTTGAAAAAATTAAAACAACAAAGTCAACAGGACATCAAGTTACCATTATAATTAAAATCAACTACAAGTTCCAAAAATTAAGCATAGCGAGAAAATCATTTAACAAACATCATTATCTCATTTTGACTCATATCTTACCTAATGTTGGTGCCTTTGCTATCAATCAGTCATATGACTCATATCAAAGTGCACAAGTTATAAGTGGCTCTTCAGCTAACAAAGTAACAAGTGGATATTTATCTAAACATCTACTCCATACTTACTCTTTTGCAGCTTAAAAAAGAATGATTAACCATGGAGCACCTAAATTGGCAGGTAAATACAGTGCAATTTAGTTAGGCATTCTTAATTCCATCTCTATTGACACGTTTGGATTGAGGGGAATATATTAAGAGGGTAACAAAAACAAAGTAAAGAGAATGATGATGAGTTTAGGTGGTTGTCTAAGGGATTATTGTAGGGAAGGGGAAGTGGGGAACTATCACCCTCATTATGATAAAAACACAATACCCAACTATGGTGGTGAAACAATGAGGGTAATGATTCCTTCATCCCATCCTCGTACAATCACTACCTCTTGCTTCTACAACCACCTTCATCTACCCCCATGTTCTTCATTTTTATTCCATTAGTACATTATCCTCAAACAAGCTAATATGAATTGTATTTTGTATGTCAAGGTCTTTAGAGTTGCAGGTAATTATTAGCTGTTCCACACGTCCACCATAACATATAACCATTATATTATGCTCACAATTGAATTTTTATAAACACACAACATACTAAGTTTCTTAAAGATTTATCCTAGCTACATCCTGACAAAGGTCATCATTAACTTAAATTTCTACAGCATATATAAGATAAAGGGTTTATGAATTATAATCATACCTGCATCTGAAGCCATTGGATCATAATTTCTCTAATCGGTACCAAGGCAGACGATATGGTCCACCAGAAAGAATAAGCTCTCCGTATGTCAAGTCCATGACAAGGGCAAGGACATCATATCTGAACTGTTAAACATGCAAAATAATCTTATTCAAAAACTGAGGGAGCAAGGGATCCCACTGAAAAGCAGCGACAGACAAATTTTGGCCACTAAGGAACTTGCCAATTACAAGAAAGGAATGACACTTATTTGTTGACCTTTTGTCTCTCCATAGCTTTGCTACTGCTTTATGAGTTATCTCACAAGCTACAAAAACGATGAAACAAAGAAGATCAGCCTGACAGGCACGAAAACAAGAGAGTTTGGCCATGTTAATGGCCATGACCTTTGGTAAGTTACATGTAATTTCTCAAGGAAAATCCCATGCCAATATCTATGGTAATGCTAGTTCCACCCCAAAGTATATCTTTATAGATTTCATTGACAATAAATATCAACTCTAAAGTGATCACTGGAAAATAGGAAGAAAAACACATTACGGATGGAGTTGCAATAACATGAACATTGGGCTAAAGTTTATTTACAAATAAGATATAATTATTTTAGGATACCACCATATATTAGCACCTACCAAATAAGCCATGAAGGTCAATAGGTAGTAGTTTAGATCTTCTTAAAAAAAATGTCATAACACATATACAGTGATAGTTTCTTGACTTTCTTTGAGCTACTAATCTATCACCATAAACACAAAAGGTTTTAGATTTAACAGTTCAAATAAGATTACAAAAAAAAAAAAAAAAGACTGAACTTGTTTTTAGCTGTGGACCGAATTTACAAGTTCCGCATTGAACTAATCTAAACTTATTAGCCTTATATCTAAAATGATTTGAGCTAACCTCAATTTTTTTTTTTCTAGCTAGGAAAAAAGAAAAAAAAGAAAAACTTCCAGATTGAACTCATATTGGACACACAAACCCTACATACTGCACCGAAACCCAAGACTGTGGTTGGGAAACTTCCAGATTGAACTCATATTGGACACACAAACCCTACATACTGCACCGAAACCCAAGACTGTGGTTGGGAATGTGTGGATGTCATCTGAAGCTATAAGATGGGAACACTAACTGAAAGAGCTGGTAATGAGCTTGATAAGGGATGGCACTAGTTATATAATCTAGGATTAGTTGACTACTGTGAGATCAAGAAGCAGTGAAGCACTCACGTATGCGTTTTCAGTCTAGAAGGATAAATCTCAACAACCAGGAGTCAGTGCACAATTTAATGTAATAACTAGTGTGTGCCCCGGGCGATGCCCCGGTTTGCTAGTTTGTGTATTTCTTTAATTTGATAATTATGTTCAACTATTTGTATATAATGTGTGGTTCGAGGGTTGTCACTTTTTTTTCACCTCATATGTATTTATATAATAGTCTTGTGAAAAATAAACGAATTATATTACCTCTAATTTACTTAATAAATGAAAAGAATATATAATATTATATGAAATTTGAAACATTAATAAAAGTTAGTTGAGATGGTAAATGTATTACCTATATGTATTGGAGGTTCTGGGTTCAAATCTAGTTTAAAGCATATTTTATTTTGTTAAATGAGAAATGGCAAGCTTACGTGGCGCATATACTTTGGATAGTGACGTGGCATTGTGACATGGTGTATATATTGTGAAGAGTGCCACGTGTCACCGTTCCTTTGAAAGGAACGCCTTTTAATATATAGTATAGATATGTGCTCTGAATAGGAAACTCAGGTGATGTCTGGGTCAAGTATAAGGGATTTGAGAGCTGAAAAACAGGCTTGAATTCAGGGGTACCTAGTTCCCATTTTTAGGTCTGCATCATCTTAATGCCTTTGTTGCTAGAATAGATCTACCACCTCTATCCATCATATGCAGAGTTACATTCATTACATGTCAAGTGTAACATAATTGCAAACATATTGTGCCTATATTAGTATAATTGCAGCTTATCTATAAACTCCACATAAATTATTGACGAGCAAACATTATAGACAAAATTAGTTTAAATGGCAAGATTAAATATACATAATGATACTTCTGGTTACCTGGATTACACTATGTTACTCTGAAGAGCGAGGAGCGTAAGTGGAGAAGACTGAGACTTCAGACCACCCAGCATAATACTATATAAATGCATCTCTCTTATACATTTATGCCACTACATACTCCAGGAGATCTTGGCCTGAAAATGATTCTCCTCTGCATCCTCTGCGAGTGTTTGCTTCAGAATTACATATGTTACTCTGGAGAGCGAGGAGGGTAAGCGGAGAAGGCTGACACTTCAGACCACTCTGCATAATACTATATAAAGTTGCAACTCTCTTATACAGTTACACCACTATATAATCCGGTAGATTTTTGGCCTGAAATTGTTTCTTATCTGCATCCTCTAAGAGTGCTTGCTTCAGAATAACATGTGACATGTCATCAGGTTCACAACCATTTATTACCATGTCCTTTAGTAACAAAAAAGCATCCTTAAGCATCCTTTTCTGAAGCATTGCCTTCAAAATCACATTGTAGATGTCAACTGAAGGCTTGCGTCCATCAGCAAGCATTCGGTTACAAAGCTCAAGAGCAGCGCATATATTCCCATCTTTGCATATGGCACTAACCAAGGATTTATAAGCGACTGCACCAGGTTCCAATCCCTGGGAGTACAAATCAGTGATTAACTCCTCAGCCATCGCATATTCTTTAGCACTCAAGGCTGTATGTATAAGAATATCATATGTACTCGTATTAGGAAATTCTCCTGAGTTTTTATACTGTTTAAGAACTTTACAAGCTGTCCCGAGCAAGTGGTTCTTGCATAAACCATCAATGACAGCATTGAAAGTTAGAACGTTTGGAGTAGGACCAGCACCCACCATCTTCTCCAACAATTTGAAGCACTCAAAGATTTTTCCAACTCTGCAGAAATATTTAATCAAACAAGTCATGCTTACAACATTAAGCTCTATTTTTTTATCTTCCATGCAATCCAAAAGCTTGTGAATGATAGAAGAATTCCCTAGTTTGCATGCTCCAGACAAAATTGTGTTAAAAGAAATTATGTCAGGCCCATCTGTAGCTAAGTTTAACCTGTCTAGGAACCTGAGTGCATCATCAAAATTGCCTTCAGAACATATTCCTTTCAGAATTGTGTTGTATGAAGTGGTGTCCGGTGTGAAACCTTTACTAGCCATGCTCTTTGTCACAGATAAAGCTTCTCTGTATCCACTCTCTAAGCACAAGGAGTGTAGATACATGTTATACACAGCAATATCCACATTGTACCCTCGTGAAATAACATCAAGCAAAAAATTACTAGCATTTCCTAGCTTTCCTTTCTTCAACATGCCAGCAGCCAGTGCAGTTAAAGTGTATGGATCGGGAGATAAGCCCCTCCGATCCATCAGAGACATCAGCTCACTAATTTCAACTGCCCTGTCCTGATGAGAGAGCTCACGAAGAATGATGTTAAATGTCACCAAATCCGGGTAGCATTCTTCTTTTTCCATATTTGCAAGAATGGTAAAAGCCTCCTGAATCCTCCCATCCTCACATAGATACTTAATTAAGACAGTGTATGTTATTGAATTTGGTTTACACCCAGCAATTTCCATTTCCCTTAACACCTGGAAAACTCCATTCCACATTTTTTCCTTACCCAGCCCGTATACCAATGCCGTGTATGAGCACACATTATGTACAAATCCTCTCTTATTTAAAGAAAACAACAACGACAATGCGATAGAACTCTGGTTACATTTACATAAACCCCACAAAATTGGATTATATACAAGCGGAGTGCAAAAATGACCTTTACATAGCAAACCACTCAAAACTCTATAAGCCTCATGTATCTTGCCCACTTTACAAAGCTTCAAAATCAACCTACTCAACGACAGTTGTGCTGGCAAGTAGTCCAGTGCCAGCATCAACTCTATAACATACCTCGAACCCAATAAATCCTCCCCTCTCAATAATCTTTTCAACAACCGCGATAGAGAAGTAAATGACGGTACATACCCACTCCTAAGCATCTCCCCAATGATAAACAACGCATCCAACAAACAATTCAACAATAACATTCCATTAAAGAGGCCAACATATGTTAATGCATTCGGGCACAACCCAGATTCCTTCATATGCATATAGATTCGACCTAATTCATCGAAAATCACATTCCGGGATTTAAAATAGTTATAAATCAAAGCATTATAATCATAAACCAACGGCCTCCCCTCGACATACCCCATGGAATTGAGACTCTCCAGTGCCTTTTGAACACAACCCATCTTAGCATAACCCCTCATTTCTCTATGTACAACATTATAATCACAATAATGACTAGAACTAGAACCATCACTAACATTATCATCACTAGTATCAGAACTTTGAAGAACACATGAAACTGAATGATTTACATAGTAATAATGGTGAAAAAGGCCGAACCTTTTGGGAAAATTGCGTAAATGGGATAATGTATGAGTTGCACAAAAACGCATAGCAGAGAAAATTAAATGTATGATAAAGATAAAATAACCATAAACCCAGAAATAAAAGTGAATTTAACATGTATATGAAGCTTGAAATTAACTATAAAATAGTTGGGAAATTGAAATTAAGTGAGGGTTAAGTTATCAAACCTTGAGAAAAGTTGTGATTTTGATGGGTTTGGTAGAGTTTTACCTTGGCTACTTTATGGACCATTAGAGGGGTTTTGTGCAGACAGAAGAAAGAATGAGAGTTCAAGTGTTAAACCCTACGGCTGGGATTTTGGGAAGAAAGAGTAGGAGAAACTAGACGACGCCGTATTGCTATTCAATAGAAATAGTTGCACAACATGTTGGCGAGAAACATTCTGTGAGTAGCCTCTAATTACGCGAATCATTAATTCATTACTTCTCGTTGGTAATAAATTGTGTTTAGATGTTCATGATATTTAAATATTGATTCACGAGTAATAAATAATGCAAAATATTTTTTAATAGAATGATACGGAATATGGAGTATTATCTAAGCACAATTTAATACCGAGCGTTATTAAAATCATTTATGATTCAAGCTATTAGAATGTTAGAAGTAGAGAATTACTCCATGTTAGAGATGTTGCTTTCAATAGTTAATAATTCAAGGATAGTCACCTCAAAGCATCATACATAAAAATGTAAATTATATTCACTTGTTTTTTACTTGTTTGAATATACACCGTAACTAAGCTTACATACATTGTAAATTGAATTTGGTAGTCCTTACTATGGAGTAACCACTATATTAACATTTTTTATATCGAGAAATCGGGTTGGTCATTAATTAAGGGATAAAGAATCCATGAGTACATATAGAGAGATCTTCGAAGGCAATAATCTCCAAGTTTGTTTTAAACCAAAAAGGACTAGTTTAGCAAAGGTAATTGGCTATAATATTGCCCTTTTTTTTTTTACTCAATGACAATGTACGGATTATTATTCTATCTGAATTTATCTTATTTGAACTTGTTAATTTTAATCCACCAATTTGAATAAATTTCTTATGAGATAAGCGGAAATATAGTGAACATAATTTAATTTTGTTATAGAAATTAAAATAAAACATTACGAAACTTTTGTATGAATTGGTTTTTTTATGGTGGTCGAGATGGAAAAAAAAAACCAAAAAATAGAATTAACAAATATCCTCCTCCTTATCCACAATATTAGTAACCACCATGGCACCACTTAAACATAAATGTTGAGCCTCTAATCAATCCATCAACATCATTAACACCAAAGAAAACTTCCCTTTGTCCATTCAATTTTTGCTCTATTCTTCCTTTTTCTCTCTCTCATCCACAAACCTAAATCCTAAAACCCTCTTTCATTTTCTCTCTCCTCCATTAATGGCGTCTCCGATTTCTCCTCCGACGCCCTTCACTTCGCCGGCAATTTTCTCCGATTCTAATCTTAACTTCCATAGTTGTACCACCTTCTCCTTCAATTCTCCATTTCTCAGAAAACCTAATTTAATCCCCTCAATTTCCATTTCTAAACCTCAGAATTCCTCTTTCTGTTGTTGTCGCAGTAGTTCATCCGATTCTCCTTCGCCGTCGCCCTCGCCTTCGTCGTTGTTGCAGCAATTTCTCGTTGCTGCTGCTCAGGCGGTTGAGGATTTCGTCAATTCGCGGTTTTCGCCGAAGAAGGATGAAGTGGTGGTAAGGGAGAAGAAATCGGAGGAAGGTGGTAATTTGGAGGTTGATGTTGATGGTTGGGATTGGGAACGCTGGTCATTGCATTTCAAGGAGGTTGAAGAACAAGAACGTTTGATTAATCTACTTAAGGTAATCAGTTTAATCAGTTTTGATTGGCCTTAATATATTCGTTATTGTATTAGAATCTAAGTGACAGGCTTCGATTTTAATTGTTATTACTAGGTTACAATTCTGTTGAATTTGAATTTGAGGTGTGTTTGGTTATTTTTCTATCAAATTGGAAATAGTATCTGAAATTATACTGATTAAAATCGAAAGAGAACTTAAATTTTTAGAATATAACTCATGATCATATATTCTACTATTCCATTGACAATATCCCTGGAAAAAATCAACCATGGTAGTGCCTCAAGTGTTTTTTTTTTTTTTTTTTTTTTTTTTTTTTTTGTAATTTGCTTTTAGAGATCATTCATTGGTTTTGTTAAGATAATTTCAACAATGTATTGCCCTGTTTCAGGCATTAAATACTACTTGGTAGGTTGTTCAATAAGTTATTGTTTGGGTTTTGAGTTTTGGTTGATCAAAGGACGAATTTTTGTTCCCGGATTGTGCTTATGCATGGAAGTAAAGATTGGATTTTTGTTCCCAGAATGTGCGTATGCATGGAAGTGAAATACAAATTTTTGTTCCTGGATTGTGCTTATGCATGGAAGTAAAGAACGGTTTTTTGTTTCTGGATTGTGGTTATGCACGGAACTAAGGACAAATTTTTGTTTCTGGATTGTGCTTATTCACGGAACTAAGAACAAATCTTTGTTCCTGAAATGTGCTTATGCATGGAAGTAAGAACGAATTTTGGTTCCCAGAATGTGCTTATGCTTGGGAAGTTTTTCAAGTCGGATTTATTGATTTCTTTTTGTCTGCTTTTTTGGTGCATTGCTGACTCTTCTTTTAGAGATCATGGGCCTAGATGTGTCATATACCTCATGTATAACATTATTCTCAGTACAATCATGGGAGGTGAAAGCTACTCTCACTAGTTAGAGGGTAAAGATGCAACTTTTAAACCCTATCTTTGACAAAACTCATATTTAGTGTTTGTTGAGGCATAGGAAGGGGAAGGGAAACGGGAAAGGGAAAGGGAAAGGGAGGCTGGAAGGGTGGTTCTTACTTTTTTTATTTTTTTTATTAATCTGCCCTGTGTGTGTGTGTGTGTTCGTGCGCGTGTGTGTGGGTATATGTATATAATTTTGTTTTTTGGGTTATATCTCTGTTTATATGGAAATTTCTAATCTGATGCCAAATTACCAATGGTGGATAAATTTATGTGGTAGAAAAGGATTGAAATAAAAGGTATTTTTGGTCTGACCTTTTTGTTTTTCTAAGCTATTCCTGTTTTTGTCTTGATAGTCTCAACTTAGACATGCCATTGAGAAAGAGGATTATGAGGTTGCTGCAAGACTCAAGGTAGCCATTGCAGCTGCTGGGACAAAAGATGCTGTTGGAAGCGTGATGTGTTATTTAAAGGTTTCATCCTCGTCCTACAGTTTGCATTTGGAATATATTACGCTTAGTTACATTGCTTGAATAACTGTTTGATTGCAGAATGCCATTGAGGAGGAGCGCTACCAAGATGCTGTATTTGTACGAGATAATGCTGGTGCTGGACTAGTAAGTAAAAGGAAATGAATTAATCTGTTACTGCATCACTATAGAACTTTTGGTTTCTTTGGAATAGGTGATCTATTGTGCGCATGTGTGTCCATATGGGCTCTTGCACCTTACTTTAACATGAGCTTGAAAATTATATCAAGTTACCCTACCTCTCACTTGTGTGTTTTCCCAGTAGCATTAAATTCCTTCAAACATTTCTGTTACCAAGGATAATACGTTTGATGAATCTTAAATGTAGTTTAATTTTTTGTTCATTTCAGGTTGGCTGGTGGGCTGGTGTTTCCGATGATAGAAATGATCCCCATGGCTGTATAATCCGTATAAGTGCAGAGCATGGTAGATATGTGGCAAGAAGCTATAGTCCTAGGTAATCTCATTTCTTAATGTGGAAAACAATGTATTAAGAGATCTTGTGAGTATTATTTTAAATTGAGAAGAACAAAAAAAAAAAAAAAAGCATGTACATTTTACAACCCCCCTTTTTTTTGTGCATATTTATTAAATTGAATGGTCATATTTTGTTTTCTGGGCTGAAATTATATCCATGGAAAAAGAAAAAAAATTTACTGCAAAATAAAAAGATGTACACAATATTTGAGTTATAAAAGTTGCAGCTAAATGAAATGTGCACATTCAACTCATAACATATGCAAATGAAATCCTTTTTCATTCTTCTCATTTTAACACCCTTCTCTTACTTCTTTATGATTGACAAATTGCTTATGTGCAAAGTTGTGAAGTTTCTTAGTCTTAATCATTTAAGGTATATTTGTGGATTCTATAATTAGAGGTGGTAGCCTGGTAGGATGTTGAAGAAGTGGTTACCCCCACAATATTAAAAAGAATCATAGCAGAGAAGGAAGAAAAATTGGCTGGAGAGGCAAGTTGATCCATGTGCAGTATGAACAAGATCCATAGAATTTTCATGTATGGTGGAGAGTTTGTGGATTGAGCATCAAAAGTCACGCTATACTATGAAGTGGATGCTAGCTTTTTGAGGATGGTGTTGGACTTTTCTAATGATTAAATATAGTATGGTATATATGTAAGTTGATTTGCAATGTGAAAATCCTTCTGAACAGATTTAACCACTGTTGTATGATTCAGAAGTAGTACTACTTTTCTGGCTTTATCATTGGAGTCTATCAAATTGAGAAGAAGTAGGTTTAACCATGGTTTGAAATTCTTGTGTATTCTTGTTGATTAGTTCCCTTCAGACAAATTGTTCTAGCTTTAACTAGATTGTGTTTCCCTCAGAATCCTTTGATCTAGTCTCACAATGTTAGAGTGTTATCTCATCTCAATCATTTCCCTGCTTGACTGTTGGTTTCCCTTAGGTGGGCTCATGCCTTCCGATCCTGTTTATATCTAGGTTATTCAATTTACGCTGTGGGATTTTGGAAGATTAGCTTTATTTACCATCTGTTGGTAGTGTCTGAAGCAACTTACAAGAGAAAAGGGACTAGGAAGTAGTCTTCAATTAGGCATCTATTTGGGCAACATTGGCTGCCCATGTGAAGCAGAGGAAGGGTATGTGAGTTTTATGCTAGTAGTAGGGAACAGGTGGAAAGTGCTTTGCTATTATTGATATTTTCAGCTGAATAATCAACAAAATGATGAATTACTTTTTGGGCTGGGGCTTTTAATTTTCTTCAGCGAAATGCATCAAAAGGCTGTGCACTAAGATGATACTGTGAAAGGGATCTATCTACGCTTAAGCAAGCTGCACTTAACAAAAACTAAAAAATGTTGAAAAAAAGGTGTGCGCATCAGTTGCGTCTCCTTTAAATCACCTCACCTAGACAAATAAAATGCTTGAACATATCGTCTCACAAGCCTTTTATTACTCTGTTCCAGGTTTTTATTGGAAAAGGGGGGGGGGGGGGGGAGGGGTTGAGTCGGCTAGAGGATATTGAGGATGGATGACTATGAGGTGGGAGACAAGGGTTTGGGAAAGCTTTAGGCTCCAATTATTCTTGTTGTTACCTGCCCAATCTGTTTTAATTTTTAAACCATATTTCTAAAATACACAGTGATGACTATATCTCTTTAAGCTTTATAGATGTGTTTAGGATTAAACATGAGGAGCTCATAGCCTCATGAACCATTTCATATCCACTTTGTGACAAGTGCTCAAGTGGAGAACATGGTATATTTTGCTTTTTTTTTTTTTTTTTTTTTTTTTTTTTTCTTCTGTATATTAGGATTATTTATTGATTAGCACAGTATGGGAACAGCTTTAGCCACTATTTCTGTAGGGCTAATCACTATTTATTTCAGGCAGCTAGCTACTTCAACTGCTGGTGCTCCCTTGTTTGAGATCTATGTAACACTGAACAAGGAAGGCGATTACAGACAACAGGTGAATTATTTTCTTTTGATTTTTTTTTTTTTGTCTTGTTTATCCTTTTTAATTTGAAGAACATTTTAAGCAAGCAAGATATTGTTTCCCGGGCCATGGTGTGATGGGAATTATCCTTAGTTGCATTTGCATTTCAGCATTTGTAAACGAAAGGTTATAAGAAGAATTACGAAAGGGATAGATACCTTGCCTTGAGGTAGAGGCAACCTTTTACCAAGTTTAAATAAAATTCGCGTTTGATAGAGTTTATATATCTTTGAGAGTTGATGCATGAGTTTTTTAAGACCTTTGGGTAAAAACCTCAATCATATACTTACTTTGTTGTGAAACATATTCTTTTCAAGTCTTGCTTTTGATTTTGGGCAGGCATATGCTCTTAAATATGAACCTCATTTGTAAATCTTTATCTGTTTAGGCTGTATACTTGAAGAGAGAAGCAGTTCCTGAAACTTTTCCATCAGTGTTCCCAAAGTCTCCTGCTGCCCCAAGCAGTATGAAAATGAGTCCTGGAGGGGGGAAAACTGATATTTTTACTCCTGTGCTTGAAGATAATGATGATGATGAAGATAAAGATGATCCAGAGTTAGCTGATGGACTATCAGGATTCCAAAATATATTACAAGATATGATCCCTGGTGTACGAGTCAAAGTCTTGAAAGTAACTGCACCAGGAAAAGTAGATCGAGATTTGATATCTAAGGTGGTTGAGCAGATAATAGAGGAAGAAGATGAAGATCAGGATATTGAGGCTGAGTTGAGCAGTATAGACACAGAAGATACAGATGACGATATTCCTGGAGAAAGTGATGAAGAAAAGGATGATGGTGAAGCTGATCCTACTAGCAGTGACCTAGATAAGGAAGAGCAAAGTGAAATTGCTGTCAACGTAGTAGTTAGTGGTCTTGTGGAGAACCTATCCGGCACGACATCTTCTAAAGATCTGGTTCGTGTTCCAGCAAAACTCAAGTCAAAGGGACACAAATCTTTCTCTTTCTGTATACAGGATGATAAAAGTCAGCCAGAATCTGTTACAAAAGGTCAGACTTCGTCTAAAAGAAAGGCTAATACTAAAGGTCGGCGTAGTATCGACCATGTAATGTCTGACCTTGTCAATTCTATAAGCCGAGGAGAAAAAATACCTGTAAAGGTAAACTTTCATTTCCTTTTTGAGTTTATTTCTGGTGTCTATTTTTATGATTTTAGTTTCAAGTAGTACTTACGACTATGGCCATTGCCTATGCTGAAATATTGCAGGTACTTAAGGATGTGGGAGATTTGATTAGTCTCACTCTGAACCAAGTTCAGAATCGCCAGCCTTTGTCTGGATCAACAACATTCAATCGCATTGATTTGCCATCATATCCAGATCCCCTAAATGGTGATTAATTTCAGGACAAGTTCTTTCTTATTAAATAATGATGTTAGTCACAAATAATGTGTCACTATTGGGCACTTGAGAAAGTCTTTTCCTTTCTGAATTCAAGCCTGACTTACTGTGGAGATATTCAGTATATTTTCTTTGATTAGGACTTTATATTGGATCCCATGGACCATACACCTCAGAAGTCATCCAGTTAAAACGCAAATTTGGCCAATGGAAAGAGGATGGTGGGAGCAAGGGGCCTTCAAATCTCCAATTCTATGAATACGTTGAGGCTGTAAAGATTACAGGAGATCCTTATGTGCCTGCTGGTCAGGTAAATTTTTATTTTGGGTCATGATTAGATATGCCCATACTCCACCCTCGGATGAAGCCTTGTTTAGATCACTGTATAGTTATGGGGTATGGTAAATTATGACTTAATCAAAAGGAGAGGTAGCATCTTGTAGTTTAGGCTTATGTACAAATCTATTATTCTTACTGGTATAGCACTCATGCGATGCATGGTTTTCAAATTTATATATTAAGGGCTAATAGCGATTGAGTTTGGCTGAGCATCTTTACCCGGCCAATGAAAAATAAAGAAAAGAATCTGATCAATTTGCATGAAGTAGTGGGAGTTAATCTACTTTTTTTTTACAGTAAATATGTTAAGTACCAAGTCTAGGAATATTTATCTAATACACATTATAATCTTGCTAAATGAATCACTCAATTTTCAATATGATAAATAGTTAGATATTAATTTCAGTTGTTAAACTCTTGTAGAATTATTATGTCAAATTGATATGATGATAATAGAAATTTCTCAGATGTCCTTACCCCTGCTCAAGAATGCCAATAAAATGATTAACTCTTAGCTGGGTGTATTATGGTCCTTTATCTGTGCCGACCACCATCACCACCTCTAGCATCCACCACTTCCTTATTTTAACCCCTAGGTCATCCCCATTACCCCCAGCATCCACCATTTCCTCTCATTCTAAGCAGCCCAGAAATATAGATGTAGCAAAGAACAAGAAAAAAGGTTTTACCTGTGATTGCATTTTTTTTCGGGGGATGTTGGGGGTGCTAATGTACTAAATATCAAGAGTTAAGACACAGTCTAAAACTCAAGTCTTTGCAGAGTCTCCTTAAATTTCAAGTGTATCTGTTCTTCTTAGATTTATCTTTGATGCTCCAAGTCAATATTACAGGTTGCATTTCGTGCAAAGATTGGCAAAAGTTATCAGCTTCCTCACAAAGGGATAATTCCAGAAGAATTTGGAGTGGTGCGTATTAAAAACTTGGTGGTCATTAACCAATTAATTTAGTGTCCTCTTACCAACTTTTTGCAAAATATTCCTTTTTGGATGAGCCAGGTTGCTCGGTATAAAGGACAAGGAAGGCTAGCTGAGCCAGGATTCAGAAATCCAAGATGGGTTGATGGTGAACTTGTTATTCTTGATGGAAAGGTTCTTTTACCATTCTCACTTTCTTGCTTTTTAAAATTACAATTCTTGGCTTCGGGATAGGAAAATCCTGTGGCCACTTATTGAAAATGCCTTATAACATAATTACTGGAATTTTGCAGTATATTAAGGGAGGGCCTGTAGTAGGATTTGTCTATTGGGCTCCAGAGTATCAATTCCTAGTGTTTTTCAACCGCTTAAGGATCGAAGAATAGGTGTTTTTTGTATATGAAAGTTGGATCTGTCTTTTTCCTGAGATCAAAAGGTTAGGAACCTTGTACTGCTTGTTTCTCCAGTCCTGTTAATTATTCTTCTCTGTTTACATTTATATTTAATTATTCTTCTACACCATACTGCTACAGGCCTACAGCCTACAGTTCTGCTTGCTAGAGTATCATTAAGGGTAATATGGAGAATTTCAAAAAAATTTGGGATGAAAAAAAAAAAAATGTGGCCTGCAATGTTTTTGATTAATGAATTCCAATAGGTTCTCACTTGGGGGAATACCGAACAAAGTTGCTAATACTGCTCATTTTAAATTTTTCTGCTGATCTAAGTAGTGGAATAATTATGACCATTTATCATTTTAAAAAATTGCTAATTTTGCTTCTTAATTCTTTATCTTATTGAGAATGGGATAACCTAACATTGTGTCTAATGATTTCTATTATTCCTATCTGTGATTGGCACCTATGTCTATCCGCAAAGTTTGATACAAAAACAAGGGAGGACACTCTTTAAAGGCTGAAAGTATACTACACAATTGCTGATATACTTTTTTGTTAAGTGCCTATTGAATTACACCAACTTTGGTTACCTGTTCAAATGCAGGTGAGATTATAGCAGTTTCATCTGCAAGCTATGGTGTTGTCATTCAATCCTATTGTTTTCTGCAGCTTTAGGTAATTATTTGTAAGAAGCCTTTCATTCTGGATTGCGGAGCGCAAAGGATTGTATTTGTAGCAGGCTACATTTCCTATGCTGACATCATTGACAGACTGTAAGCAATTTTGGCTGATGAGTGTATCTTCAAGGGCTTCAAATTATACTGACTTATCAGCACCTCGGTTTTTTATGGGTAAACTTGCCCTGCAAATACATGTAAATATACCTGTTTCAGCTCACAAACTTGTGCTATGGTTCTGTATATGCTAATAAGTGTAGCATGATTTCTGCTTCTAGGCTTTGAGAGCTTTGTATGCTTGTAAATCTTAGACCAGCATTTTTCAGTGACAATAGTTTGAGACTTAATACAATAATCTTGTTGGTTAATTGTTATAGCTTCACTATCTCCTGTGGCTGTTAGGACTTGTCATAGTCAGTCTGCTTTCTTATGTGAATAAGCTCTGTAAATTGGAAGCTTATGAGATGATCTTAATGAAAACAGCTGATCTTAATTCATAGGTGAGACTCACAACAAGTCTACCTTTGAACTATAATTTGTCTGGGGAATTAAACTATTGCTGAAGGACAACTGGGACAAGATTTGTATTTTAGCAGACTGGATTGTAAAATCTGATACTAATACAGTAATACTTGGTATTTGAGTAAATAGTCTGGGTGCTTAGTTTCACTTATACATGAAGTGATAGTGTGATATAGAAACAAAATACATGGTTTTTGGAATTCAAATTTGGGAATAAGCCCGACGCTTTCATGGTCCTCTTGCCACCGCGCTGCTCACAATCTTTGCCCTAAATAGTCTGGGTGCTTAGTTTCACTTATACATGAAGTGATAGTGTGATATAGAAACAAAATACATGGTTTTTGGAATTCAAATTTGGGAATAAGCCCGACGCTTTCATGGTCCTCTTGCTACCACGCTGCTTACAATCTTTGCCCCCCTCTCTTTAGCCATGTAAAGCCCCATATGGTGCATAATCTCCTGCAACCAAATCAGTGATGTTTAGGTTCTGCCGTTAATATAGAAGATTCAACAATGATTTGGAGTGTAAGCTGAAAAATGCATTACTCGTACAATTGGTGCTCATGTGACTCAAAGAACTACTCTGTCCAAATAAGGGACTTTTATCTAGCAATGAAGTTATTAAGACTCTTATTTGGAGATTGAGTAATAGTATTTTACCTGTGGATGAGCAAAACCATGTTTACTAATTTGAGCAACTTCGACGGGAAAATCAAATGTGGCGCAGCCATTTGAGTAAACCACCACATCGTTTAAAGGAGAGAGAAAACCTCTAGTTTTTGCTGATAATGTTGAGCATACGAAATCCAGCACGCAAATATCTGTGCATACTCCGACTACCAATAGCTTCAAGAACCAAAAACAGAAGAATGAACTACCGTTAAATGTAGGTCTGATGTCGTTTGTATGCCCGTTAACATTAAGATAATGTTAGAGCTTACCGATTCGATCTTGTTGGATTTCACCCAGTCCACAAAGACATTAGAGCCATCATTTTGGATGGAGCCTATGAATCCATCATAACAGTCTTTACGCCTAATTGTCACGTTTGATTCTTCCTCTAGCCATCTCAAAGCTGCAGCAGCAGGAGCAAATATACAACTAAATAGTGATATATAGTCTCACAGGAACATATATCATATATGATACTTTTGTCCTTTTGGGACCGGAGGGAGTATTATACTTGCGTTTACAGGAACATGAATGTATGATACAATTGGGACGAAAGGAGTATTATACTTTTCTATGTTTGCAGAAACATGTATAATCAGCTATTAAAGCTGAAAAATAAAAATTATTTACCTGAAACAAGATTTGATTCTTCTGATCCAGCCAAGCAGTGGGGAGGATAGGGATGCTCAGGTACATCAGGATTATGAGAATCAAGGAAGGCCATTATTGGCCACTTTTTCTCACAGAAAAGCCTTGCTAACCTCTCTGCTTCATTGATCATGTCTGACATTTGCTGATTATGTTCAGCAGGAGCCTGAAAATACCCAATATATATATATATATATATATATATATATATGCATATTACTTCGTATATTATATGATCAAATATTGATTCAATTTTAGGATATGATCATATCAGGAAATATAAGAGTACTAATTAAAGTTACCAAAGGGCCAGCTCCAATAGTGCAGAAACCATTGATGATGTCTACAAGAACCAGACCATAGCGAACGTTTTCGCTAAGCTCTAGACTTTCCTGCTCAAGAGGCAGCTGATTCTTCAGAAGATCAGTAATTGGGGATGAAACCATCTCTGCTTTCTTTCTTATCTTATTTTGCCAACTTACTAAATGTATGATTTTGAGGTTAGTAAGGTATGCAATTGTTATAGTAGATGAGAAGTGAGATATGTAGTGCAAGTCTTTCTATTGGTCTGATCACAACAATAATTGATGAGTAATTGGCTTTATGTGCATTTTGGTCAAAAGTTATTATCTGTGGAAAAGAGTTATCCTTGACTAATCTGACAAGGGATGGGGAAATTATTTTTTGGGGTCTATAGTAAGCTCGAAGTCATCAATGGCGGTTGGATATTAGATCCTAAATACTACCCTTGAATATTCTTAATTAAGCTAAACGACACTGTTCTCATTTAGTTGCTTTGATAATGAAGTACAAAAAGTATTGAATGTGTTAGTATTGATACACATTGGCAAGTGCAAGTCTAAAAAATTCATCGTTGAGGTTGGCTATATCACTAACTATGAGTGGTTAGCTTGCCCATCAACGTTATAAAGAAGTGTGTCATTTTAGTAAATAAAACTATGAAAGGGTAAAAGGGAGGGGGATCACTTGCTTTTCCAAGACAAAGTAAAAGAACAAGACCCACGATTTCATGTTACAACTTGCAAACATTTGGTCATGCCGTTGTGGAGAATTATATATAAAACACTTTATAGAGAACTAAAAGAAAAAGGAAAAAAAAAAAAAGTTAAGCTTTGGTTGAGAGATTATGATTAATGGAATTTTGTAGTGAGATAGATTATGCTCCCTATTATTAAAAGGTTATTTTTTAAGATATCAAATGTAAAGCATTATATTATTACATTATGGTTTATTATGTGCCTAACTCCCTATATGTTTGGATCGCGTTAAATTCGGGTCATTGTCAATTGAGTTTGGGTCGAATATGGGTTGGATCAAATTCGGGTCATGGTCTATCGAGTCCGGGTCGGATATGGGTCGGGTCAACTCCAAATCGGTTCATGTTCGTTTCGGATAAATTCGAATCGGGTTCAAAACGGGTTTGACCGAGTTGATTTCGGGTCGCATGAATTGGATCGGGTTGGTTTTGGTTCGGATGATTTTGGTTCGGTCAAGTTCGGTTTGATGAAGATAAGGTTGATTCAGTATTTGGTTAATTCCGATTCAAATCCTTTCCGTGATTGTCTAGATTTTGGTTGAGTTGACCAAATTCAATATTCAAATAAGATCATTTTTAAATTAGAGTGTAATTATTGAATTTTTACCTTCTTATTAGGTCGATATCAAGTCATTCATGTGTCATTTATCATATTGTGTGGTTAATTATTACGAAATACGAAGAATTAGTTTTCTCATTTAATCAATTCTTGTGTAATATTTATGTTGGAGCCAAATTTAAATTGAATAATTATCGATGACCTATCATACCTACGTACATAATTGAGATGATTAGTAATGAACTAGTGATAGACTGATAGATTGATAGATGATAGTCACATATGGTGATATATAATAAGGAATGTCCTCTTTTTAAGGTACTACTCTTCAATTGTTTAATCTCATGAGGCTACAAGTACTATTAGTTTGCTTTATTACTAATTCAATTTATATAAGATATTTGTTAGAGTTTTAGACTTTCTAACTTATTAATAATTAATAAATTTGTAAATATATGGTAGTATAAGAGCTTGAAAAAAAAAAAGGTCAATAATAGGTTAGGTTTAAAATTATGGCCGGGTTAAAATCGGATCGGGTTAAAATTGGATCGGTTTAAAATCAGGTCGAGTTAATATCAGTTCGGGTTAAAACATATCGGATTAAATCGGTTATTTATCGGGTCATTTTCGGATCGGGTTGAGTTCAAGTAGGGTCAAATCGGTTCGATTTGAGTTCATGTCGGGTAATATCGTGTTCGGGTTAAGTTCAAATCGGGTCAAATTGGTGCCGGGTTTAGTTCAAATCGGGTTAAATTCGGATTCAGATTAAGTTCAGGTCGTTATAGATCGGATTTGAGTCTGAATTTTTCGGATCAAATCAGATCAGTTACAGTTTAAAACGGATGATTTTTTTCGAATTGGTTCGATTTTGATACATCTAGGTACAAGGACACAAGGTGAAGGTAGAAAAGTAAACTAGACCAACAATTCACCTAAGATTGAACCCAACAAAATAAACCTTAAATAAACCCTTTGAAAATGATAGGGTCTTTAGCTTGTAGAGCTTCCAGAACCTTATTTGATTCATCATCTTCCTTCATCAGATATTCTCCTGTTAAATACCCTTCTTCTTCCTTCTCTAATCGCCTTCAAATTCGATCAATGGCTGACTCTGCCTTCAACAAAATCCAGATTAAACGAGAGGACACTGTATGTTTTTCATCATCTTATAATCTTTGATTTTTATACTTTCTTTTCTCCTTAATTCTTATAGTTTGACCCGGTTTTTAGATGGGTATTATTTCTTGTCTTTGTTTCTTGTATATTCTGCATGTTTATTTGATTTTTGGTGAAATTTTGGGTATAATTTAGCATATTTTAGCTGAGAAATGAAATGGGATTCTATCAAATTAAGCTCTTGGCTTTTTCAAAGGGCAATTTTTTGGGGTTTTTGATGAGTAATTTTTTTTATTTATTACTGTTTTCTGGGTTTTTCCATTTCTCTAATTGGTTTGTGTGGTTTGAGGAATTTTGGATACCATTATATGAATAATAACCTATGTTACTGGGACTCAGATATAATAATGAAATTTTTTCATGATTTTTGGTCCAAAGTGAAGTGTCAAGTACAAGTATGTTTTATACATTATACACCCATATCGGAGTGTCAAGGATCCAACACGGGTACTTGGGCGTATATGAAGAGTCTAACTTTGGTAATGACTACTTAACAGGGAGACTAGGGAGGAGCTATCTTTTGGTTTGAGTTGTTGACTTTTAAAGTATAAGAGCGTTTCAAGGGTTCTGTTTTCACTAAAAATTTATGATTAATTTTTCGTGTATTGTTTGTATGAATTGCTAGAGCTTTGATGCATATGTTATTGGAAAAGACGATGCTCCTGGGATTGTTGTGCTTCAAGAATGGTGGGGAGTAGACTACGAAATTAAGAACCATGCTATAAAAATATCTCAGCTGGAGCCTGGTTATAAGGCACTTATTCCAGAGTAAGGAATTTGTGGTTTCTTTGATTTTATGAATGTTTGAGAGTATAATTTAGTGGTCATATTAACTTGTTCGTTGTGTTTGTTTATTGCAGCTTGTACCGTGGAAAGGTGGGTTTAGATGCTGCTGAAGCTCAGCATTTGATGGAAGGTCTGGACTGGGCAGGTGCTATTAAGGATATTGAAGCTTCTGTCAATTGGCTTAAGGCAAATGGTTCGCAGAAGGTATGCGCTTGTTGGTCTGGTATTTGATTTTGCTGTGGAAAAATTGTAAAAGTTCTTGCTTTCTTTAGTTAGGGATGTTATTGTTATACAAAACTGTTCACTCCATATACAAGTTATGGGCGCGTTTATTAATGAACCAACTCGTTTTGTAGGTTGGAGTAACTGGATATTGTATGGGAGGTGCTCTTTCGATTGCTAGTGCTGTCTTAGTGCCTGGAATTGATGCTGTTGTTGGCTTCTATGGAACTCCTTCACCACAGCTTGCTGATCCTGCCCAGGCCAAAACTCCTGTCCAAGCTCATTTTGGGGATTTGGATAACATTGCTGGGTTTTCAGATGTGGCAGTGAGTCTCTTCCTTAAAATTTCCCCTCCCCACCTTTCACAACCCTCCACCCTGAATTTAAACTTTCAATTCTAACTTTGATTAGTAACTTATTCCAGATAAAGCCCTACTACACCTAATTTATGTTTAGTTAAGAGTAGAACAGCATACATCTATATCCCCTCCTAAGCTCCTACAGTTGGTCACATATGGCTATCGGAGTACAGATCCTATTGACCAGAAAAGGAGAACTTACGAACTATTCTCTTGTCATATAGAGAAAATAAATGTGTGAGCACTGTAAATGGTACGAAGTATGTAGTATTTGATTACGAACCCAAGCATCATATATTCACACTACAAATTGTTATCTAAAAAATTCTTCATTTCTGTGGCCCAACTCTGCACAGTCAAGGCCCTTTGTCTTTGGATGTTGCATTACATCACATGCATCCAAAATAAATGAAAGATCAGTTAAGTTAAATAGGTTGAGAGTTTCATTCTTAATATCTGTACTCACAAAGATGGCATACGAATATGCGATTGAGCAGTGAGCTTTCCATGTAGATCAACTTGAGTATATTATATGTACATATTCCATGACAATTAAACTGGGAAATGCTTTAAATACCAAAACATAGTTCAGGATTATGCTCAATGTGATTTTATTGTCTATAATATAAAAACTGATTTTTTCCTTCTTTTTCATTATATTATACTCTTCATATTACAATTAATTGTAAAAGCAGCCATGTGTCAATATTTACTAAGGTTTGAATGCATTAGTGTGTTATGGTGAATTGGTGTTTTGGGTAATGCATCTCTTAAGACTTTCTGAATATATATTTTGATGGCATCTACTTGAAATCTCAGACTGCCAAAAGTTTGGAGGAAAAGCTGAAGTTATCCGGTGTGCCAAATGAGGTTCATATCTACCCAGGAAGTGGACATGCTTTCATGAACCTGTCTCCAGAAGGAACCGAGAGGAGGAAAGCCATGGGATTGAATGATCTAAATGAAGCTAATGTTCAGCTTGCATGGTCTCGCTTCCAGTCATGGATGTCTCGTTACTTGTCCTAAGCAAATATGTTGATCTTATTACTGCCTTTGAAACTTAGCTTTTGTGTTTACTCTTGAAAATAAGCTGCGTGTCTCAGTGTGTGACGCACTTTGTACATTATGAAATGAGCATAGTCTATGTTTATATGCTCAAATGCTCAATGAGCTTCCAATGGTTATAATTTATTATTTCTTATATTCAAATGAGCATTGAACACTCATTTTATTTTCTATGTTCATTTTTTGTTGCTCATTTGGACATTGGGTAAAAAAACATTCAATAAATAAATTGAAATGTTTCCGGGTAAAATAAAGTTTTAGTAACATAGGGAGTACGGGAGTAGTATGTAGTATGCACTTATTGATGCTCAAGCAAATTTTAGATGAATTGTTCGATACGCAGTATATGTTTATCCGTTTAATCAAATGTGTTGGAAACCTTGACATTATGTCACTAACTTGATTTTTTCATGTTCGGTTGGCGTTGTGTTGTGTTGTCCTGTTATGTCAGTTTTTGCCCGTTCTACGCCTCTAGTCCTCTACCATCTCAATGTATTTTCTTGTGCCTTGAGCAAAAACATCAAATCCTTTAATGTACTTTGTATATATTTTATGTTTACTAAAATAAACTAACTTTAACATTTTTGTGGGAAAAATACAAACTAACTTTTATGAAAGGAATCAATGAGATTGGCATCCGCTTAATCAAGTAAAAATTTCACTTATGTATAGGCCAAATAATCATTCGAATAAATACTGCGCTAAACTTTTACCATAGCTTTATTTTGGAAGCAATTTTTTCCAAATAAAAGATAAAAAACATCGTTACATTTTCATATTACAGTAATCAACGCCTAACCTTCAACCTTACACTATTTATTCCTTTCCCTTCAATTTTGGAACCCACTTTTTGCCACCAATTTCACCAGCAAAAATTCCGAACCCCAGAAAAATATGGCATCACAAAAACCTCCTTCTTCATTACCTCAAAACCCAGAATTAAGGAAAGACAAAATCAACAACAAATGGGTTGTTTTTTCTCCAGCAAGATCCAAACGCCCTTCTGACTTCAAGTCCAAATCCCCTGTTTCAGACCCCAATCAAAATCAGTCGCAGACTTGTCCTTTTTGTATTGGGCACGAGCGCAAATGTGCCCCGGAGATTTTCCGGGTTCTGGATGACTCGGATTCTTACTCTAATTGGAGAATCCGAGTCATCCAGAACTTATATCCCGCTCTTAGCAGGGATATACAACCCCACAATCCGGGTCTACTGAACCCGGATTGTGGGGTTGTCCCCGGGTTTGGGTTTCATGATGTTGTGATTGAGACAACCACACATCCTGTTCATTTATCTGATCTTCCCGGGTCCGGAGTTGGGGAGGTTTTGATGGCTTATAGAAAGAGGGTGCTTCAAATTGCTTCTTTTGATGGCATCCAATATATTCAGGTTTGATTTTCTCTTCTTATCCCGTTTTATTTAATGTTAATGTTGTTAAATGCATTTGGTTTATCATCAATATATCCGTGTCCAAATGTCCAACTCGACTATTTTGTAAAAAGTTTATGTAATTGTTGCCCTGAATGAAGTGTCAAAGTGTCCCACCAATGTCGGAATTTTGACCATTTGTCATGGGTATGAATGAAATGAGGAGTTTGAGTAACATACAGCGTGGAATTTATTTCAGGATGGGAGACTACTAATTTTGCAAAAGAATAACTGGTTAAAATGATTGTTTTAAAGAGTATGTTCAACATTGGTGCAATTGGAACTAAAATTACTACTGTTGGTAGTGTTAGGTCCAAAATTGGTGCAATTGAAACTAAAATTACTACTTTTGGTAGTGTTAGGTCCAAAATTGGTGCAATTGGAACAAAAATTACTACTTCTGGACTTTTGGTAGTGTGGGTAAAGGGTGTGATAGTTTGTATTTGTGTGGATATTTGGTTGTATGATAAAGTTGTAATCTTGTTGAACTTGTGAATGGAAAAAAAAGGGGAGAAAGTTCATGCTGAAAAATAGTAATGAGTGATACATAATTTATGTGTCCTTTTTGTTAGATATGGTGTTGCCTATTATTAGAAAGGGCTTTAGTTAGGATATTGTGAGACTTTGGGGATTAGTGTTCTTTCTAATTTTCAAATGTGTAAACAAGAAGCATTCAATTTGGATGTTTACATTTAAGTTTTGATGCCCATTGTTGATCTGCTTTGTTTTAAATATTACTTACACTCGAGTAGATGTGTTGGATATGTACTCGTGTAAGTGTGACTTGGCTATTCATTGAAGTATTTACGTATTAATATATTTTCAAGTGTCCATTCTCATACTTAAGTTGAAGTGTAGAGAATTTTGACTTGGCTAGTTGAGGTAAATTGAAGAGTCCAAGTTTGATGACCTAAAGGTCTTAAACTGAGCCCTGTCATGATTGGCTAACTTTCCCCCTATCCCTTCCGTGCTTGCTAAAACCGACCATTTGATGCTGTGTAGGTGTTCAAAAATCATGGAGCTTCTGCTGGAGCGTCAATGAGCCACTCTCATAGTCAGATAATAGCTCTTCCAATTGTTCCCCCTTCTGTATCTACTCGCCTTGCAGCTATGAAAGAGCATTTTGAGCAGACAGGGAACTGCATCCTTTGTGAGAAGTTACCGAAAGAGCTTCTTATTTATGAATCAAGACACTTTGTTTCGGTTGTTCCATATGCTGCAAGCTATGCCTTTGAGATTTGGATTATTCCGCAGTTTCACTCTGCTCATTTCCATGATATAGATAAAGAAAAGGTGATATTTGCTGCTCCTGTTCCCTTATAATTCATTTTGCTAGTTTTCATTTTGTATTGACTGTATTTTAGCGAGGAAAAAAAATTGCTTTTTTTTTTTTTTTTTTTGCACTAAACAAAGTTCACATCTTGACTAGATCTTTTTACAATCTTATAAAGTGCTAAAGTTGAATAGATGAGTACTTGCGAAATTTCAAAAATTGTGTATCGTAGCAGACATTATGTTGTTGAATAATGAGGATTAGCTTAGCTATCAGCAAAAAGTAAAATTGGTATATTGAGACCAGTAATGTACTGTACGGTTCAAATTATTCTATAGAGAAATGGGGTTTACATCATGATTAATCATTCTTTAGTAAATAAATTGGTATGTCTGTGTATAACCGATGTTCTCATTATTGGTATGCTTGTGAATTTGTAATGGTACTCATGGAAGGTCCTTCCAGAGTTCCATGTCAATAAGCACAAGTTTTAGAATTCGCTGTTCAAAATTAGGACATGTGCTGCTTATAATGCATAGGAATGAGTCCAGTTGAGTACGGCTTGTCTGCTTGATTTCAAATGCCATTGATACTTTGATAGTAACTACTATATAGTACATTAATTCAGCTTTCACAGAAACTACATTTGCAAATTTGCCGTACCAAATTGTCATTTTCATGCAATCATTGATGTTTATATTAAGATTCTGACATTGTTTGGTCTCTGTATGCAGGCAGACGACCTTGGTGGATTACTCAAACTTATGCTGGAAAAGATGGCTTTGCAATTAAACAACCCACCATTTAACTACATGATTCACACATCTCCTCTGCGGATTGATGATTCACAATTGAGCTGCAGTCACTGGTTTCTACAGATAGTCCCTCAGTTGACTGTGTTAGCTGGATTTGAAATCGCAACTGGATGTCATATTAATCCAGTATTTCCTGAAGATGCCGCAAAGATATTGAGAGAAGTTGACGTTGAAGACACTGAACAGATTTTCAAAGAAGTTAATGTTGAAGATTCTGAGATACCAAAAGAAGTTTAGGTTGATTGTTGAGATGTGGACTCGAGTATGGAAAAGAGTAGCTTGAGATGATACGAAGTGTCATTTTTTGGGTGAATAAAAATGTAAGCACTCCATTTGTTTCAAAGTTATGATACGTGATTTTATAATGTCTTGACTATATACAATATACAGTACTAGTTTAAGGGCGTGTTCGGCACTAGCTTTTGAGTAGCTTTTACTCTTCTAGGTAGCTTTGGTCAAACCACTAAGTAACAAAAAATATAAGTGTTTGGCAATATAGCGGTTGGGGTAGCTTTTAGTGGTGGAGGTAGCTTTTATCAAAAGCTAGAAATGTTAGTTTTTGAAATTAGAGGTAGCAGTTGAAAATTTAATCTATAGTTTTAAAAAAATATATATTGATTTTTATATGTAACAGCTAGTCAACCGCTACTTTGCCAAACACTCATACCTAAACTATCTACCTACACCGCTACCAGTTACCTTCACAATTATATTTTGCCAAACACGCCCTAAGACAAGAATTGGACTGTTGAGAGGTTGTAATGTGATGCATGCTACATTCGCATGTAATAGTTTGTTTCGATTTTTTCACCGAATACCTCTGAGTAATTCCCTTATTCATAATATACCCATGAAACTTTCCAAATACACCATATGCCCCCAATTTTAACAAGATTACCCCAAATACCCAAATAACTAAGGGACGTCAATTCCGTCAATCATTAAGGGTTAATTGTGCCACATGGCATCCGTTGATTGGGTTTTTTTTTAATCTATTTAATTAATTATTATAAAAAAAAATTTAAAAAAACCAACCTAAACCCCAGCCACCGCCGCCTCCACCACCAGCCCCACCCACCCTACTCCCCCACTCCGGCGCCGGCCACACTCCCCTACGCCGGCGACCGCCCCACGGTCTCACTAACCCGGAAAATCGAAACCCTAAAACCCCAAATTGAAACCCTAGATTTTGATTGTGTGGTTTTAGGGTTTCGAGGTGGTGGTTCGGGGGGAAAGAGGCGAAGATGGTAGGGGGAGGGCCGAATTGAGTTCGCCTGTACGGGGGAGGGGGATTTGGGGTGCTGGCAAATGGGGAGGGAGGTTTTTTCGAGGGAGGGAGAGGTTTTAGATTGTGGGGATGGTGGTTAGGGGGAAGGGGAAGGACGATTTTAGGGGGTCAAGGTTGGGCTGGCGCCGGGTAGGGGTTTGGGGGGATTTGCGACGGCGTTGGCGTCGGCATGGGGTTCAGGGGAGGCGGCGGCGGTGTTTGGTTTTTTTAATTTTTAATAATTAATTAAATAGATTAAGAAAACAACCAATCAGCAGATGCCACGTGGCACAATGAACCCTTAATGACTAATGGAGTTGACGTCCGTAAGTTATTTGAGTATTTGGGACATTTTTGTTAAACTCGGGGATATATAATGTATTTGGAAAGTTTCATGGGTATATTGTGAATAAGCGAATTGCTTAGGGGTATTTGGTGAAAAAAAATTGTAGTTTACTTTTAGGATGACATAATAAATGATGTATGTTGAACATGATGTACTAATATAATACGGAGTATTCTAACATCCTATACAAGTGTACAACTCCTTAATAATATTTCTACTGATGTGATATCATTTACATCATGGAATATGATATAAGTTAAGTTATCTAAAGAGGATGAGGTAGTGAAGTAGTAGTATCGTTTCCAGTCCCTACGTTATATGTGTAGTACAGGGATTAAATCTTATGGGTTTCAATCTCATTATACAAATATTGTAATCGAATGATTAACCTCTTATTCGATCCCGTACAAATCTTTACCTATTAAATAACTTGTACCATACTAAACTCAAAAAACAAAATCAAAAGCAAAACTAGAACAAAGTCCACCATAAGGACACTTTGGATACTCAATATACCTGCTACTTCACTAACAGTGTAGATTTATTGAATTCAATAACAAAAACATAAGGAAACTAAAGGGAAAGGGTCAAAAATAGCCAAGTTTTCGGAGAAATTTGATTATTACCGGCCAATAAAACACTTTTTTGAAGAACCCTAGAGAGAAAAAATAAAGAGAAACAGCTAGGGTAATTAGCTAGTTGTGGTCCACAAGGATAAGATAGGTTATTTTTTTTTTTTTTTCTTTTTTTTTTTTCTTTTTTTTTTACCAACGGTTATTTCTTTCTTCTAAAACAACAATAATTACAGGGTCAATTAAGTTCTATGATCAAATTCATATTTGTAGTTACTCTTAACATACAATGTTTTAAGTTCGTGATACTGATGATAGATACATGAAAACACCAAAAAAAAAAATGTAAAATCAACTGCTAGATTGTGAACAACCAATAAATAAATATAAAAAAATTATGAAAAATAAATCAAAATAATTAATAAAACAAAAATCAACTATACACTAAAGATTTACTACATGGTGTAGAGCATATCGATTTTATAATTTTTTTTTTCCCTTCCAATGTGTTGTTCCCTTGCCTAATAATAAATAACGATAGTCGTGTTAGGCCCTGTTAATTACACGAAACAATATGCTCACCATTTTGAACCATATAATAATATCTTCTCCATTTTTCCTACCTTAGACAAGAAAATGATTTGTACTAATCAAAAGATAAAACTTTATGCAAGTCATCCAAAGGAGGCAACTCCTTCAACAACCTATCCATCTCTTTGTAAGACAAATTCCTAGACAAAAACGAATAAGTCCCACCACCACTACTACCTCGACCCATACAATCTTGAAGGTTGTTTCCCTCACAACAATCAAGCATGAAATGGCCCTCAGGCGTTGTCTGAGGGCCATGACTCGTACGTGCTAGCCTCGATTGAGGCCGAGCACTAATTTTCTCTTTACTTACTTTCATAACCCGTGAAGTTGAAGGCGCGTAAGCTATGGTGGAGTCCTTGCCAGTGAGATCTTGAACCACAGACTTGAAACTACATGCATCAGTTTCCACGTATTGTGTCTTTATATGCACAACTTTCAAAGGCTGCCTTAGTTTTGATCTACTAGACATGGAATTAAATCACTTTTAAAAAGTGCAACTCTTTTCGGAAAAAAATTTCTCAGCTTTTTTATGTTTTGGGAAATTTTAAAATGATTAGATCATTCATTATATAGTCGTAGAATGAAGCAAAGATAAGCAATTAAAAATGATTGGTTAGATAAAGTGGACCGTTACTTTTAGCAGCAGTCTATGAGGACCAAAGCCTTGGTTTATAAAATAAATATATATAATTCAACAATAGCCAATTTTGTGGATTTTTTAAAAGGATTTGGTCAAGCCAATTGAATAGGAACTAGGAAGGTTCTTTGATGAAATTAAGAGATGCATATATATGAATGTGATTCATCCTAGATTCCTAGATGATAGGGACGTGTTAATTTGTTCTATGGGTAAAAATAGACCTTTTTTTTGGGTCCCAATAATTCAACTTATTGAACAAAGGTTATTTTCAAGAGTAGATGAGAAGGAAAGAGGGGGAAGTGGGGTTTAGTAATTTAGTATAAGGGGTGATGTATGTGGAACTTACTTGGAGGGGAGTTAAGAAATGGTCTTGGATAAGGACATTCCGAACATATGTTTGATTACTCGTGTGTTTTCTAAGTGAATTTATAGTAAATCTTTAATTACAAGCTAAGAGGTACACGCATATCATATAAGAAATTATAGGGAAAAATAAAAAATTAATCAACGCCCGCCATCAATCTAGAATCATCCCAAAAAAAGAAAATATATATATAGGAGTTTTTTCCCACAAAAAATTAATAATAAGATAAAATATTTACTAAAAGCATGAAAAAGAAAGAAGAACAAAAAATTTAGGAGGAGTTTTTTCCCACAAAAAAAAAATTAAAACAAAAATTAAAATTAATCAAGAGCATGCACTTTCATTTTTTATTTTGAGTGAGAACAGTTAAAGATATAAATTTATGTGCAAGAAATGGATCAGTTATTATAGGGTAGTTATGATAGGTAATTTTTTTTTTTAAAAAAAAATTCTTTATTTTTAATTGTAGATAAGAAAGGTAATTTTGCATATTGAGAAGGACATTTTGGAAAAAAAAAAGCAAATTTATCACCTAAAAAGCCCTTTCTCTTTATATACAATACTATAAAATTGTGACAATATGAACTTATGAAGTGCATGACTAAATTGATTCAATAAGTTTCTAATTAAGGTAATTAAAATAAGTGTTAATGATTGATCGCTCTCACAATAAAGTCTAATTCTATGGTTTGTTGCAAATTCGGTTCATTTTTGTTAAAAAAAAATGTTATTGATGGATCACTCTCATAATTAAATCTAACTAGTCTTAGTTGAATATTCGATTCATTTTTGTCTAGTTATTTAAAATTAAAAATCTCTATTTAACTTTGCATAACTTTCTTCAGATTTTTGAAGCAAGACATAAATAACTTGATTTCTTTGTTCTTTTATAAAGCAATCCAAGACTCAAAGTTTAGATTATTTTTAAAAGATATTGCAACATATTACAAGTATTTGTGAATTTTAAGTATACCTGTACACAGTACACTTGTACATTAGACTTATTTCATGTAAATTTTCTGGTGATGTATTATTGATGATGTCACAAATTGATTATATATATTGCTGATATGTGATGTCATGCAGTAACTCAGTACTTCAAAAATCTAGAAGCATCAAATAGAGAAAATCCACCATTTTTTCTAGGAGCCTTGACTGATTTCTTGCTATAATAATAATAATAATAATAATAATAATAATAATAATAATAATATCATAGACTCTTTTGATGTTTGTCTTCAAGCTTGGTATTTGGATGACGGCACTGTTATTGGTGACACGTTGGTGGTGGGGAAGGTTCTACAGTTGATTATGGAGGAAGGGCCTTTTTTGGGTTACATCTTAACGTGGAAAAAACTAAGGTTTTCTGGCCTACATAAGACCCTCGAAGCAGGCTTAGGGGTGTCTTTCCACCTAATATTGCTCGACCCTTTCGTGGTGTTAAGTTGCTTGGTGGTCCGGCTAGTTCTGATTCTGGGTTTGGAAGTGAGCTTATGATGCAAAGGGTTACCAGGACCATTACACTAATGGATAAGGTTGTTAAGCTTAATGATCCTCAGTGCGAGTTATTGTTACTTAGGGCTTGTACCGGAGTTTCTAAACTCTACTTTGCTTTGCGTACTTGTCCACCTAGTACTTTTGAGGAGGCTCAGCTCACATTCGACGAGGCTCTTCGATCTTCCTTGGAGCGTATCGTTGTTGTTTTAGGGCCTGGGTTTGGCGATTGGCAGTGGCGGCTTCCACCTTACCTTTTGCGTATGGCGGGCTTGGTGTTTATTCCGCAGGTGATGTTCGTCATTATGCTTTTCTTGCTTCTCGGTTACAGTCTGCTGGGTTGCAGACACAATTATTACGACATGCTGGTGTTGTTGGTCTTGGACGAGCCTTTGGAGATGCGTTGAGTTTGTTTAATGGAATAGTGGAGTCTGACATTATGAGTAATCCTAGTGAGGTCGCTGCCCCTAAACTCATGAAGAAATTGGCAGATATGTATTTTACAAAGGTTACCGCTTCTGCAGAATCCGTCTATTCTTTGACTCCTCGGCAATCAGCATTGTGGAAATCGCAACAGGGAGATCACACCTCTGCTTGGCTTCGGGCAGTCCCTATTTCTGGGTTGGGTCAGACGATGAACCCAAAGACCTACCGATGTGTGTTGTGCTACAGGATGGGTGTTGCATTGTTCTCTATCTCGACGTCGTGCTTTGCTTGTTCTCGGGTTTTTCCTGGGGATATTTTTGGTGATCACGCGGTGTCGTGTGCTGGTCTTGTGGGTATTAAACATCGGCATAATATTTTTCGGGATACCCTTGTTGATATCTGCTACAAATCTGGGATTTCAGCAAGAAAGGAGGTTGACATAGGGTTGTCTGGAGGGAATGACGGGGCTCTTAGACCTACTGATGTGTTACTTTATTCTTGGGATCGTGGTCGCGATGTTTGTGTGGACTTAACAGGGTCTTCTCCTATGACACAGACATGGTTTTCTGACTTTGTTCCTGGATGGGTTGTGGCTGATGCGGCTCATCGGAAGAGGATGAAGTATGAAGCTAGTTGTCGGCTGATTGGATATGGTTTCATTCCCTTCTCCTTTTCTTCGCTTGGGGAATTAGAGAAGGAGGTTGTTGTGTTGCTGAAGCGAGTTCAGAGGTTCTCGACGACGCAAGACATCGGGTCTCGTGCTGCAGTTTATATCTTCACTAGGGTAGGCTTTGCTATAGCTAGAGGAGTGGGGGCCCAGATTGTATCTTGGCTTCCCACTAATTTGTTGTAGGTTGTATGACTTTGTCTGTTTTTGAGATAATAATAATAATAATAATAATAATAATAATAATAATAATAATAATAATAATAATAATAATAATAAATACTAAAATAAAACGCTGTTGACATCATCTCTTCTTCAAATTGTACACATGTCACTTTGACATAAATTTTTTTCCCGCCAATTTGCTATGATGATGTCATTAGTGTTTTTTTTTAATCTAATAAACTTTTCATATACTTTATCCTTTGTCATTAACGAGTCCTTTTTTTTTTGCAGGTATATTTGTATTTCAATGTTAAAGTGTTCATTATAATTTTTTTTATTTATTTTATAAGTAATATGCTTACAATAGAAATTACTTACCATGTATACAAAAAAATTATAGAGTAGAAAACTTTCTTTCTCAGTATTATAAATAAATCTTACAATGTATTTTGTTTAAAACCGTGCATCGCACGGAAACTAAACTAGTAATAATAATAATAAAGAATATCACATTTTGAATACTTCCATTAATCACAATTCTTGACTTTAAAATTAACAACTCTCTTCCTCTTTATACGTATCTCTGTTTTGTTCATGTATTATATGTTTGCAAACACATACCGTATTCCACAAATATTGGATTATGCATCCCAAAACACATTTATATGTTGAATATCTATAATTATATAAGTATAGAAATTATAAAAATTTGATATTGTAAAAGTATTTTACGATATGAATTTAACAAGACCTCACATAACTATATTTCATTTTATGTATAAATCATAATTTGTGGTCAAACAAGCATGATGAATAGTGCAAAAGTCCAGGTGTTGCAATCCACTACTAGAACGGAGGAAGTAATAATGTCTACTTAAAATTTATGCTGCATCGGCTCGTTCACCAATGATCAATCAAATTAGGCTCTGTTCACTTCACCTTAAAAAAAAATTATTTAGTAAAAATAATTTTAGTTCAGTAAAAATAATTTCAGTTCGGCAAAAATAAGTTCAGTTCAGTAAAAATAATTTCAGTTCAATAAAAATAACTTTAAAGAAGAAATATAACAAAAAATTAGTAAAAATGATTTCAGTTCAGCAAAAATAATTTCAATTCAGTAAAATTAATTTCAGTTCAGTAAAAATAATTTAAGTTCAGCAAAAATAATTTAAGTTCAAAAAAAATAATTTCAATTCAGCAAAAATAAGGTGAAGTGAACGGAGCTTTAATTTGCGACTATTTAAAAAGGGAGGAGAAGTTAGAAGCCAAAACAACACACTAGTACATTATCCCAAAACCAAAACAAAAAATGAGTAGATAACTACTCCGTATATGGATACATCTATTTCATGTCAAAACAAATCTTTCCGTTTTTTTTTATATCAACACAATCAAATCTTTTAGCAATTCTTTTTAGATAGTCCCTTTTTTTTTAGTATAGTAGTTATCCTTGTCGTTGTTTATGTTTTGGGTTAGAACAAATTACTATAATTCGTCCCCGTCTGCGGATCAGCTGGCATTTTTCACAAATTTGACGAACAAAAGTTCTTATTTTCATATTTTTTATTCGATTGTTTTTATTTTGAATCTAATTCTTGGAAGAAAATAGGTTTTTGAATATTTTGAATCTCGAATTGTACTCTTACAGAAAGGAGTGTTGAAGTTGAAAAACACCGATAAACTAATACTTGTAATTAAACTATAGAGTGATAGAGAGATTGAGGGATAACTCAAGTGGTTAGAGTTGTCCTCTCGATTCCAGGTGATCCTGGATTGATTCTCATCACTCGTCCTTCTGACTCTATAGAGTGATAGAGTAGATAAACAAATAAACTCCACAGTTAAACGAAAGCCAAGTTACTCTATGCTCCTCTTCCATCAAATGCCATCTTCCAAAACTAAACACCCCAAAATCCAATGCTTACATCCACCGTATTCGTTCAACCCACTTCATTCCTAGTGCCAAAACCCCAAATTTTCCCGCCAAAATCCACCCAATTTTCCCTGCCCACCAAAATTTGCAACCCAAACATGTCAAATTTTGGTGGGTTTTCAGTAAAAGCTCAAATGAGTGTTGAAATTGAACCAAAAACACTAATTGAGTATGTGGGTAAAGGAGGAATAGATGTGGGTGACGATTTGGTGGTCTTAATTGATCATTTACAATATGCTTGCAAGAAAATTGCTGCTCTTATAGCTTCACCTTTCAATTCTAGTCTTGGAAAATTTGTGGAAGGTTCTGGAAATAGTTCTGGGTCTGATAGAGATGCTCCTAAACCCCTTGATATTGTCTCGGTATGATTTTATTTCTTTAGAGTACCTTGTATGTTTAGTTTCATTTCTTGTTAATTACCTGTGTTGGATTCTCGACACTCCGAACATGAGTATGATCAATTGATTAAAATAATCGAGTCTTACACTTAGACATATGTACCCGTGTTTAATAAAAGTGACCGGATTGAGTAAAACATACTGTCATTGCTCATGATTTTGGTGATTGAATTCACTTTGCTGTTTGATAATAGATTATTTTAGTAAAGATGGTCATTTTTGTTTTGGTGATTGATATTAGAAGAATTATTGTTTCTGACTCTATTGTAGCTAGTTGTTTTTAGCAAAGTAGTGATTTGTGAGTATTATCTCTCAATGTATGATGGTATATAAGTGTTGGGTATAGATGGACTTGAGATGATATGGGAGTAAGGTTGGTTTTAGAAGCTACAGGAATCTGTGCCAAATGCTGTTGGGTATAATTTGTCACAATGTTGAAGTGGACTCAGGTTGTCTTTGCTCGGCGATTACAAAGACTTCCTTGTACCTTCCTTCAGCTTAACATTTGTCTACTGTTATAGTCCAGGTTGTGTTTACATATGCCTTTTTTTTGTTAAAACAATTCTTTTTGGAGTTTGCCCAAGTGAATTTGAGACCTTTTGTAATTATGGCTTATATCACCCATTCTACTGGACTGAAATTTTCATCTTTCTTTTTGGTAGTTGTTGGCCTATTGGGGTGTTGTGAACTTAGGATCAGTAGTACTAGAAAAGTAAGTGATGATATTCGTAGAGTAGATTGCAGAGAGGAACACTATTAACTGGACATACTATCATAGAAGCATGGGACCTTGGGGCATCACCTCAAGTGATCACCTCCCGCCACTTCTGAATCTGAACTTCAAAGACCACATGTTATCTGTACTGTCAGGCAACTCTGGGAATGAGCATTAAATCTCATGATTCTCATCTGAGGATAACATGATTGATACCTTCTATTGATTCAATAAAGTCAAATGGATAGTATTACTCTGATGAAGACACTTGGTTATGCAGAATGAAATTATTTTGTCTTCTCTTCAACGATCAGGAAAAGTAGCAGTTGTGGCTTCTGAAGAAAATGATGCCCCAGTTTGTATGACTGATGATGGTCCATATGTGGTGGTTATGGATCCTCTTGATGGGTCACGAAATATTGATGCATCAATTCCCACTGGAACAATTTTTGGCATTTACAATCGTCTTATGGAGCTAGATCACCTTCCCCACAATGAGAAGGCATCATTAAATTCACTTCAAAGCGGTACCAAGCTTGTTGCTGCTGGCTATGTCCTCTATTCATCAGCCACAATTTTCTGTGCCACTTTTGGCTCTGGAGTCCATTCATTCACTCTGGATCGTTCAACAGGCGATTTTATACTTACACATCCTAGTATCCAAATTCCACCTCGAGGTATGCTGAATGTTTGAAGTTCATGTTGAATTTGTGACAAAATTAAGGTTCTTGATATTCATAACCAATCTATTTTCTACTTGTTAAATAAGCTCTTAACCTTAGATTGTGCAGTCCTTTTGTATTTATGGTTTCTATGAGCATGGAAGTCATGAGAACAGGAGAGATTTGATCATTGTATCTTTTAATAATACTTCGTATAATGTTTTCGTGTACATATCAGACTGTGGCTTAAGCTCACTAAGAATGCATGTTGTTTAGAATTTTCTATTGAATGAATTGCATGGAGTGTCTGGTTCTTTTTTCTCTTTTGCTGTCATGCAAAGTAGGCAAATCTCTTTGTTGAAAAAATGTGCAACTGGTTAAAAAGGGTCTGTTTTCTACTGATGATGTCTAATCTTTCAGGTCAGATATATTCTGTAAATGATGCCCGTTACTTTGATTGGCCGGAAGGTTTGAGGCAGTACATTGACACTGTTAGACAAGGAAAAGGAAAATATCCAAAGAAATACTCTGCACGCTATATATGCTCACTGGTTGCTGATTTTCATAGGACTTTATTATATGGTGGAGTGGCAATGAATCCAAGGGATCATCTTCGGCTTGTATATGAAGCAAACCCCCTCAGCTTTGTTGCAGAACAGGCTGGGGGGAAAGGTTCTGATGGTAAAAGTAGGATTCTTTCCATCCAACCTATTAAGCTTCACCAAAGATTACCTCTATTTCTAGGTAGTCCTGAAGATATTGATGAGTTGGAGAGTTACGAAGATATTCAACAGAAAGTTAATCCCGGCTATGAAGTATGATCGGCAGTGCATATTTGTGTCACTGGTATTGTCCAATATTTTGGTATATTTACTTTTATTTTCTGCAAATTCTGTGCAGAATAAATTTTAGAGTCACTTTGTTGTCAATTACCAGGAATCTGACCTTTGTTTTCTGCTTAAGATATACTGGAAGATTGTTGTTATGAACTTTTGGTTTGGTTAGTTGTTTGCATTAGTAACTTGGCTGGTATGACCCTAAGTAATCTGGTGGGACTGTTAATGGTGCAAATGCAAGTTTTTGGCTTCCAGATGCAGGAAAACAAAATACTACAGTAGTATTATGAAATCAGAATATCTGATGTGTGTACATGCAAGAGATTTGTAAATAATGCTCAAAGCCTCAAAAGCCTCTTTGACTTTTGAGGTAAAGTAAAAGAAGTTAATTGTTTCCCGTAAAATTTTATGTTGTTTAAACTCGTATGACTAACTCGAGATGGGAGTATTAATTGTATTTTAATGTAGTTGAGATTATATATGGTAGACCCGTGGCTAAAGTGAGGTTTTAAATTTGGTTATTAAATCATTAGGCACTTAAAAAAAAGGTCGTTAATGAGAAGTGGAGCACTCGAAAAAAAACGGAGGGAGCAGCATTTAGCACGACTCAAGTAGTAGTAATCCAATACCTGAAGGCTTTAGCCATATATATATATATATATATATATATATATATATACTCTCTCCGTTTTTAAATACTTGCTTCACTTTTCATTTTCAGCCGTTTTTAAATACTTGCTCCATTTCCTTATTTGGAAAGCTTTTACAATATTTAATTCATTTCTCTTAATTAGTAGGACCCAATACAATTATAATTTATTATTTTTAGATTCTCTCTCTTCCAATTTACCTTTCACTAACCCCACTATCTCCATATTTTATTACTTTTTCCAATTTCTTCAAAAACTTCGCACGTAAAAAAATAAAACAAGTATTTAAAAATGACCTGAAATTTTCATACGCCCACAAGAAGAAAAAAAAAAAAAAAAAAAAAAAAAAAAAAAAAGGATAGGTACGACTACGTCAAAAGATAAAACTCACCCCTTTGAAGAAGGAAAAAAGTGAAAAGACAAAGAAGAAAAAAGACAAAAACAAAGGAAGTAACTACGAAACAAGTCATAGAGGAGAATAACCAGTCAATTTAGTCAAAAACACGCTTCTTTTTTTCTTCTTCTTCCACTTCAATTTTCCTCATTAATGGCAGTTACTGCTTCTCCCACTCAACCTTCCAAACGTCCTCCAATGGCTACCACCGCCGCCTCCAAGCGCGCCACTCCGCAACCAACTCCCGCCGGCCACGCCTCTCTCCGCATGCTCTGCCCCGACTCCTCCGTCGGCGCCTTCATCGGCAAATCCGGCTCTTCCATCAAACACCTGCAACTCCAAACCGCTTCCAAAATCCGAGTTGATGACTCGCTCCAACTCGGTTCCGACCACCGAGTCATCGTCATTGTCGCCCCTAATGTTCCATTCAAGAAGATGAACTTGTCGAATTCTCCGGCGGAGGTTGAATTTCAGGTCTCGGCGTTTCAAGAGGCGGCGGTTCGAGTTTTCGAGAAGGTTCTAGAAGTTTCCGGGGAGGGTAATGCGGTTGTGATTTGTAGGGTTTTGGTGGAGGCGAATGAAGCGGGAGCTGTGATTGGAAAAGGCGGGAAAACTGTGGCGAAATTGAGGAGAGAGAGTGGAGCGAAAATTAGGGTTTTGGTTGGGAATAAATTGCCCCCTGGTGTTTCTATTCCTGATGAAGTTGTTGAGGTAGGTTTTTTTTTTTTGCTCTGTCTTTTTAATCTAATCAATTATTTTTGGTAGTATTTGATGATTATTTTGACTAACTATTGAATTTATTGGATCTTTTGCTTTTTTTTGTGTGTACTTTTATAGGTAATTAAAATAATGTTGCAGTAATTTAAAATTATGATATACTTGTGCAAAGTAAGTGACTTAATTATAAAGACTAGTTTCATCTCAAAAAAATAATCCCATAGCCATAGAGTACAGTTTTTAAATTGTTTATTCATTATATAAGTCATTTGATGGAAACGATGCTGTGTTCGATTGGCATTGATGTAACGCGTTGTAATTTGGGAAATAAAAAACCTTGATTAACCGAGTGGGTAGATTACTCATTTTCTGTGGCAGTCGTTAAAAGGTGATATTTTTATTAATTGTGAAGGCGACAATCTAATCCAGCTACATCAAAAGTTATTTATATCGATTTAATGTGATTAATGTGTTATATATAGCCATATAGGTGGATCGCGTAATTCACATTGATTACCTAATTAGGTCTAATACACTTGCTAAGTGTTGCTATGTTGAATGGACATGGAATTATTGATCTTTATCCTTGTTTGATCTAGATTGAGGGGGATGTGATGGCTGTTAAAAAGGCTCTTGTTGGTATTTGTGGCCAATTGCAAGAATGCTCTCAAGCAGATAAATTGAGCATCAAGGAGGGCAAACCTTTGGAATCCACTTCACATTCAGCATTACAGGATTTTCGCGCTGATCATTCTCTTCATCAGATGCCATTATCTGTGGCAACTACCCCTTACAATCCTGCTATGAGGTCGGCATTGGAGTCTGCTAGGTTTCCAGCCTCGGAGTCAAAATTCCAAAAAAAAGAAGTTGTTTTTAAAATTCTTTGTTTAAATGATAGAGTTGGTGGGGTGATTGGAAGAGGAGGATCCATTATCCATGCGCTTCAAGAAGAGTCAGGGGCTAGTATAGATGTTGGACTTTCTGTTGCTAATTGTAATGAGCGGTTGGTCACTGTTTATTCGATGGAGGTGCGTTGATTACTGGTTATAATTGGCTTAATGTTCATGGAAACTATGTGTTTGGATGTGCAAACTCACTGAATTCATTGCATTAACTTTTATAGGATGTTGACGCAAGATATTCCCCGGCACAGCGTGGTGTAGTTCTGGTCTATTCCAGGTATGTTGAAGCTGGGGCAGAGAGGGGACTTGAGGCAGGCATGAACAAGGGATCCGCAGTCACTGCACGACTTTTAGTCTCATCAAATCAAGTTGGTTGCTTATTGGGTAAAGGAGCTGCTATAATTTCTGAGATTAGAAAGGCAACTGGAGCCTACATTCGTATACATAATGGTGACCAGGTGCCGAAGTGTGCTGCACAGGATAACGAAGTAGTTGAGGTAATATGCCTATTAATTCTTTTCTTGTTCCCTTCAAGCTTTAATGTCATACTAAGTCATGTAATTTGTGTTACAATTATGTTTTAAATTTCTCATTCTGTTCCTTGACTGAGAGTTGCCTTTTCATTTTCAACTGTTTCTTTTTTAAAGGGATAATTATGCTCTCACGTGCTTTTGTTTAATCTAATGTTATGTTCCAATTTTCATCCATAACTATATTATTAATTGAAATTCCTCTTAATGTCTAGTACTTGTATAATTTTTCCCCCTGTCCAAAGTTGATCAAATACACCTCTGTTCACAAATCATAATAGCCTTTTCCCCCTTTAAATTTGAAACCTCTGACAATTTGATGTTCTCATTACCTTTTCTCTTGTTGCCTTCTCAAATGCCAGATCTCAGGGCAATTTGTAAACATACAAGATGCCTTGTATCATGTAACTAGTAGGCTTCGAAATAACCTATTCACTAGTATAGCGATGAACATTCCAGGAAGCAGGACTGGTAAATTATTATTGGATACTAGTAATTATGGAAGAATCCAAGATGCAACAACAGTTGGTTTGTGCCATTCTTTTGGAACAAATCAATCTATTGGTGGACAAGCTACTTTAAGTCAGGGGTTGGATCCTTTGCCGCATCCTAATATATCTCAATCTTCACCTTCAACAGGCCTTCAGACAATTGAGGTATGGAGTTGCTCCCCCCCCTCCCCCCCCCCCCCCCCCCGACACACACACTCCCTCTTTCCTTTTTATTTCCTAACTCCTCTCTGTCAGTCTCACCCTATGATGTATATTGTATACCCTTTTAAATGATGTTGTGGTGATTACAGCCTGCTGGAGTAAATCCAAGGAATTTTGATAGGGGATTGGCTTTTGCTACTGGTGGAGTACAACTTGGCAGGTAAATAGATAAAATCTGCTATTAAAAACTGCATTTTTTTTAAAAAAAAAAAATTATTATTTCTTGAAGGTCAAAAACTTCATATAATGGCTTTAATTTTATCTTCTAGATTATAGTTTTATTGAAAATTATATCTCAATTATGCAAAAAGGCAATCCAAAAAGCAAAGTTATGGTCATCTGCTGACTATACTCTGAACTTAGGATTTTATCCACTCAGATAGTAAAGAGTTTTAGGTGTTTTATTTGACTTGTTAAATTTAATATTCGTATGTAAGTGGGGTTTGTTGGGGAATTAAAAATTATAAAAAGGAGAAAGTGGCTAAATAGTTTATTTAGAAGTGATGTGAGAGGAAGGTCGGTACGATAGGTGGAGAGAGATTTTTTTTTAAAAAAAAGGTTGTTTATAGAAAGTGTTACATTTATAAAAATGGAGGAAGTATGTAACAATTTTTTTTGTACTTTGGTGTTACTGTATTATAAGTTCAGCTCATAAACAATGCAGCAATATCTATGAAGCTTTTGCTCCATGATTTGACAGTGTTGATATACTTCTTTGATGTAGCAATTGCATTCATAAAGCTGCATGCGTTATATTTAGTATAGGGAATTTGATTGCATGAGCAGTCATGTGATTAAAGAATATATTAACTAATACAAGTATGTTTTAGTGTTGTGTATTTTCACTACAAATAACCAACATTTTTGTTTCAGGACACTCAGACCAGCTATTGTAACAAATACAGTAGTGGAAATTGTGGTTCCTGAAAGCTCTATTAGCTCTGTTTATGGTGAGAATGGAAGCAATTTAACTCGTATAAGACAGGTATAGTGAAAATTTCATTTATTTATATCCGTGAGCCTGATTTTCTTACTCCTGCTGCCCCCAAATAATTTTGTCGATTCCTAAATATAGTAAACTGGATCACGATTCTTTTCATTTGTGTGAATGTGAGAAACCAACATTTGTTTGTTTAGGAGTATAATATGCCTGTAATATGTTAAGGCCATAATGCTGTGGAAATCAGGTATTTGTAATTGGTGTAGCCTTCCATTTACTAGCATACCTTTGTTGTACTTATATCTTTTACTTCTGGTCCTTTCTTGTGGTGTGCCCTGACCTTGTTTTGACTTAGTATTCTTGGACTAATTCAGATATCAGGTGCTAAGGTTATAGTGCATGAAGCGGTTCCTGGAATAGAAAGTAGGACTGTCGTAATATCTGGGACACCTGATCAGACGCAGGCAGCCCAAAGCCTCATCCATGCATTCATTCTTACTGGGTCGTCCTGAGTGAATTACTTCACTTTTGGTTAATTTTTTAGCTAGTAGCCATTGTAGAGTGGATCCGAAAAATTGTACATTTTGAAATTGCAAAAGGCTGTAATTATTTCTCTTTTTAGTTCTGACCGTGTATTAAACAAGTTTACATCGTTTGCAAGTACAAGTTTATGATGAAATTTTGCAATTTGCATGGTGTAAATTATACAAATACTCTGTATATAGAGACTGAGCACTTATAAAACTCTCTGTTGTAAATACTATTTTCTACAACTATTTGCATCCCACATTACTGCAATTATGAATTTTTTGTTTTTTTTAAAAAAGAACTAGCATATAGCTAGTTCTAAGACTTCTAACTAACCACCCAAATGACCTTCTAAGATTTCGTGAGGTCCATGTCAAATATTCTGACCTCTTTCCTTTTCGGGCCTGACTAAGTTGAAAATTGTCTAAAACAGAAGATCACAAGTCCACGTATCTAAAACAATTTTGGTAAATTTTTCCAAAATTGAAGAGAATGTGTGGGATGTCTCAATCAACTCATTTGGGTCGAGACATTTCGTGTTCATTTCTGCTGTTTCCTATAGCCTTCATTCTCATTATCATTGGATACCAAATGGGCCAATAGTATGAAACTTTGTATTATCGATAGACAGATGGTTTGCTGAAGAGAAAGATGAGAGCTCAAAGTTCCAACTATATAGAGAATTGCAGCAAAGGTTTAGCAGAAAGACTCACATTCAGGCAAATCTCAACAGTCTAGATACAGATACATCTCAGGTAGAGCAAAGTTACATATAAGGAAGAGAAAAAAGAGTAATCATACAGATGAGATAATGAATTACAGCACGTAAGGTTCGTCCTCAATAGAATTAAAGGAAGTCGAAACATGAAGCTGATCAACTCTTCTCTGCGGCATCAGTAGAAGAAGGAACTGTTGCAGAAGGTTTCATGGTAATAATTGCATTATCATGGACACCTTGTAGAAGCAGCTCTCCGTCATAAGTCAATATTTTCCTCTTCTTTGCAGCTCTTAGTGTTCCAACGAGAGCTTCAAATATGTTTGCGCAACGATCATCATTAAATAGGACACCAAAGGTGACCTATATATATAAGGATCAAATAAGATATAAGCAGACCTGATTTTGCAGGAAAAACAGTGAATCCATAGAGCAAATTTCTAAGGAAGGCTAAGGATTAAGTGTAGGACAAGTGGACTACAAACTACATAGAATGTCTTGCCAGACATTCAGTCGAATATCAGTTAATATTCTTGCTCTCTCATTCAGCAAGCTAACAGATGACTAATGACTTCTGGGGCGCACTCTTTCGAGCAATGTTGAAAAATCGAAAACACTCATGGAGACTGAACTTTTTAGTCCTACCTAACAGCAATTTTTCGATATATTGATAGGGTGTATCCTGAGATTTTCCTGACTAAATTGGAGGGTTATTTTGGAGTACCAAGCATTTCGCATTGCATTAAGCTGTGATAAAAGCTTTCAATCCATAAGACAGGGAATTCTTGTAGCTTGCACAGGTGATCTCACATAAGGAAAGTAAATTAGTCACACAATAATTACAAAATTAACTATGGAAGTTAACCAACCATACTAAAGATATAATATCATCTAAATATGTTGGTCTTTCTTAGCCATTTCCAAAAATATATGTCTGCTCATTTCACTGTCAAATTTGGTAATATTAATAAACAATGTCCATTTTCTGAAATTAGATCCTACAATCTCAAAACCAATATTGTAAAAAATATAAAGCAATGTCAGATTAACCAGATCAATTATACTTTGAATGTTGATAATTTTGGCTGAAAAATTAGATTGACCCAGAAATCCAGATCATGCTAAAAGATGAACCTTTCAATTTCAATTTCAAGTGAAATTGGATACAAAAACAAGAAATTTATAAAAATGTGTTAGATTTAGAGAAAGAATTGACCTTATAAGATCCATCTTCTTGGATCTGACCAAGGCGTTTGATTTCTTCTTGAAGCTTCCCAACTTCTTCTTCAACATTCATGACTGATAATTTTCTCTTTGTTTGTTTGTTCTGTAAGAGCTAAAGCTGAGGCCGAAGAGACAGGATAGTAATGGACTTATACAAATGAAAGTGCTTCCCCACTTCTGTTCAAATTAGGCCTTTGATAACTAGACTACTTGCAAATTGCAATAATTGCTTATGCGGTTATGCCAATATAGGATTATTGTTTGATGTGTCACCGTGTCATTATCAAATGCCGAAAGTCATATGGCACATTTCGGCACAATTTTAAGGAAGATTATTATACGAATATGTTAATATGTTGAAAACTCTTAAATCTTACGGAGCATGACAATATATATATTATTGAGTAGCATGTTAGACATATTCGTATGGCTATATAATGAAAATAATTTCATGCGAAAAGTACAAAAATTAAAAAAAAAAGAGGAAAAAAAAAAAAAACATGCAATGTAAAACTATTGTTAAGCATGAAACTTATTTCATGTCAATTTAAATGGAATTTCTTAAAGAATTGAGGAGGGACTTGTGGGAGTTGGAAAATCCTTAAACAAAACTTAGTTTGAGGTTGCTTCAATGAATCATTTGCCAATCACATTAGTCACTTAGATTATAAATAAACTTAAAATTCATTGTAAGAACATTTACATTTTGCTAAACAATAATTAAATCTATTTCATTTGAAATTTCCTATTTGTTGGAGATGTTGGAAAATTTTATATATAATCAAGTCTCTTAATGTTGGAAATGTTGTTAACATAGTTGTTTTTTACCACAACATTTGGTAAAATAATCCTATTTATCTTACTAATTTAGATGAGTTTACAAATCACGTAAGTTTATCTAAGTCAATTTAAACTAAATACTTGAAGCAAACTTATTCAAATGATTATTACATCTCACCTCAAAAGCTTAGGGCTTGTTTGATATTGTTTTTTGTTTTTAGTTTTCTGTTTTTTTGAAAACCAAAAACAAAAAACAGGAAATAAAAAAAAGTGTTTCCACTTTTTTGTTGTCAATTTTCTACATTATCAGGATTTTAATAAGTTTGACTAATTTTATATTCATTATATGACATATATTATATGATTTTGAAAATAAAAAAACCAAAAAACAGAACACCACAACAATGCCAAATGAACCCTTAAACACTAACACTCATTAAGCCCACAAATACAAGCTTACAACCAAATTTTTATTCCATTTTATTTTCAATTAATTCTTTGTGTTTGAAACAAAAAAAGAGTCAAAGGCTAAGTCAATCCTTTCTTTCTGCCCTAAACAGTAAACACCCACATAAACACAAAATAATTAAAAAATATAGGAGTATAAAATATATTATTTTAAAAAAAAAATCCAGAAAATTGTCCTTTGAGAACCTGTAAAATGGTCTCTTCATAAACGACTTTTTGCTCTGCAACACAAAATCTAATTTCCCCTTTTTTCTCATTTATAAATTTATAATTATCCATTTTAGCACTACTTCTCTCTCTATTTTCTCTCTCTACTTCTTCGTCTTCCTCAAAAAACCAAATTCCTGAGAATTAGGGTTTTACAGAGAGATTTATGCTCTTCGAATGTTGCTGTAATGGAGGTTTCAACGAAGCAATTCGAAGATCAAAACCAGCTTGCGATTATGGAGGAAGACGACGACGACGATTTCAGCGCCGGAGGTGATAGCGCCGGTGAAGATGCGCATGTTAGCATAGCGATTCCTGGTAATGCGAATAGGCCTGATTCTGCTGCTGCTGCTGCAGTGAGGTGTTCATCTTCATCTTCGCTAATTCGAAGGAGAACTAGTGAGCTTACAATCGCTTTCGAAGGCGAAGTATATGTTTTCCCTGCTGTTACACCTGATAAGGTGATTTTCTCTCTCCTCTTTCGTTTTTTGTTTGATTTTGTGTTTTTTGGAAGCAAATTGTAGAATAGTGATTCATGGACATGCAACAGATGATTTCGATTATACATCGGGGTGCACCTAGAGTGTAATTAAACCCGAGGCTATTTTTTAGCTCATTTAGGTAGAGTCGAAGGTAGGTGTACAACACTTGAGTGTATAATAGACATTTAGCAGACATTCTCGGATTTCAAAGGAAAGAATTGGATGATTAGGAATTTTCTATCTATTTTTGTCTAAACAGAGGATATAATAATGAATTAATTGATGATCAGAAATAGATGTTGATGTTTGTGGAATGTAACAACATATCTTGGAAATACTTAGAATATACAACTAATACAAGTATCAGTATATAGTATAGTATGCAATGAATTTGCATGAATGTCTGGTAAACTGTAAGAAGTTCATTTTGATGATATGATTTTTGAAGTGAACTTGTAAGATTACCCATTCAACTGTTAAGCTATTGATCATGTGATTTTCTGGATAGTTGATGTGATTTTGTTAATTTACAAACTGAATTAGTTATTTTTGTTGATTTCCCTGCAACTTTGAGCATGTGTTTCAATTCTTATGGAGGCTTCCATATATTTGATTATGTTGTGATGTGGTTTTTGACAGGTGCAAGCTGTTTTATTACTTTTGGGAGGGCGTGACGTATCCACCAGTGTACCTACATCAGAGTTTCTACTCCAGCAGCATCATATGGTATAATCGAAGCGATGTATGTGCTAATTATATGTTATTCTGTCAATTTAATTGAGGTTATATGCTTGCAAAATGATGCAGGCACTAGGTGATCCTTCATGTGGCCAAAAAATCTCTCATAGAATTGCGTCTTTGGTTAGATTTCGAAAAAAGAGGAAAGAAAGATGCTATGATAAGAAAATTCGCTACACATGCCGGAAAGAAGTTGCTCAAAGGTGATCCTTTCGTGTCCTTTTTGACATATCAAGAACTTTTTTTCGTTTTACCCTCTGAAACCTTGACTAGCATAAGTTTCTGTTGTTTCTTATTGCACTCCAGAGGTTTAGTTCTGCTGTTGCTTGTGACAACTGACAAGTAGGTAGTTGGGTCAAATCTTAGTACTAGAATTATGACTGCTTTTTAAATTTCCATATGAAGTATATTATAGAAAGTCTGGATGTGGTTTCCTCCTAGAATTGTTGTTTTGGTTCTACTGGTCATACACGCATTCTAGAGCTGAACATTTTATTGGTAACTGCAGCTACACGCCTACACTATATTTTTGAAGGACGTGTTTCTCTTTGTCATGCAAGAATGAAATTGGATATAAATATGTATGGCCTTCTATTCAACAAGAAACTGTCGGTTC